CTTATGATAGGAAGAAGACTAATGGGACGGTAGTTACACGAATCAGATCGCTCTCCAGAATTTTTAAAAATAGGGATAACAGATGCTGTTTTCCAACAGGCTGGAAAACAAAATTCTGATAAGCACTTGTTAAATAGTTTTGAAAAGATAGACGACAGCTCCGGAGAACACTTCTGCAAGACTATAACAGGTATGTTGTCCGGGCCGCCAGCTGTAGAAGAGTCTAAGTAGGAAATCACTTTAGATACAGAAGCTTGAGTGATATGGATGTCGAGCAATGGATCAATCTGTTTGACGGCTATATTAGGTAGAACGCAACTAGTGGCATCAAGAGATGATATTGATGAAAAGTTCTTGGTAAACAATTCAGCTTTGTCTTTAGGTGAGGTGACAACGTCTGAACCATACGAAAGAGGAGGAATTACAGATTAGCCCTTATTATTGATACTATTAAAGATTCACCAGAAGTCACGAGAGCCTAATTTTTATGATGAAATACGAGATTTTATGGTCTGAGGATAGCGGGCTTTGGCATTAGACAAGACCTTTTTACAATGGTTCCTAGCAGTAATAAACAGATGGTTGTTTTCTGGAGAAACGTTTTGCTGATAGATATGGAAGTAATGGTTTCGATTGGCAATTTCAGCAGCACAATGTCAGGAAAACCATAGAGAAGAGTGAGGCTTGACCTGGAATCATTGAGAGAGGAATAAAGGATTCCATGCCAGCATGAATCCACGAAGTTATGTAAGAAGCAAATTTATCAACAGGAAGACGAAAGATTTCTACCCAGGGGTCATCACGAAGAAAATCACGGAAAGAGTCCCAGTCAGCTTTAAGGTAGTTTAAGATGTTCGATGATAGGGAGATTCTGATGGTAAAGAAGAATGAGATAATAGTTTTAGAGAGATCAAACCATGATCAGAAGCACCTAAGGGTGAGTGTGGAGAAACTGAGCACTGACTAGGATCAGAAACAAGACATAAGTCGAGTAGAGAAGGTAAATGATTCGGGTTGTCTGGAAAGCGAGTTGGAAAGTTGACTATTTGAATTAGGGATTGAGAAAGACAAAAGTTCTGGACCTTAATGCCTGCAGAGTCACTGAAACTAGAGCTAAGCCATTCAGTGTAATGAACATTAAAGTCACCGACATTAACAATATTGGCTGATGGATAAAGAATGAGGGCTTGGTCAATATAATCAGAAATAACATCAAGGAGAGTGCAGTCTTGAGATGAAGAAGAGCGATATAGAACAAAGAGAAAGGTGATAGAGTGAAGTGGTGCTAAACAAAAGCACATAAAAGAGTAGTCTGTGGATTCAAACCTAGTTTCCCGATATATGGGAGTATTCTTACGAATGTAAATGCCCAGGCCAAGCATGTGACTAATGGAGTATTTACGAATAAAAGGAAGATAACCATCAACACTAAGATCACAAGATGTTACAGAAGAGCTTAAATTAGTTTCACAAAGAGCAAGTAGGTCTGTTGAACTTTGCAAGAGATAAGATTCAACAGAAGAAAAGTTACTTGGAAGACCACGAATATTGGGGAACGATAAGTTTAGCGAACTTGGTGATGACTGTGGTTTTTTGTGTTTTATAGTTTTTGTTTCTTAATTCATTTTTAAATTTGTTTTATAGTGTACACTGTTTTATAGCCCGAGCAATTGCTTCATTTCCAGTAATAAACCCTAAGCCGTAACAAAGGACTCCAATGTAGCCTTGGCAACACACACAAAAAGTACAAACAGGGATACCATCCATGCGCAACATGGCACAGTTAGAGTCCGATATTTTTCAGCTGTTGATAGAATCAGCCTCTCTGAGAGCTACCACAGAGTTCGGGAAACCTGACTACCAGCCGGCCTCAGAACCATAAAACTGAGTTTTAGAGCTGTACCCTCATTTGGAGATAATAGAATGAGTTGCCTAGTCATAAAAACAGAGACACAAGCAAAACCCATGCATCGAGTCAAGAAGATCCAGCGTTCAACATCCTAAACTGGAAACAATGTATTAAAAATGCATCTGCGCCAGCCTAATAGATGATGAAGGGGTGCGAGGCTGGTCAACAGATAGAATCTGTTTACCTCTTAAGTCTTTGCCTAGGAGGCCTTCTACAAGACAGCAGCCGGATGCATGTAACATCTGCCCAAGATGAGTATTTTTATCGAGACACCATCTCTAGCCTTTACTCAACCAAGAGCCCCAAGGCAGGGGGTATTTTATGTCGGAGTTTGCATCTCCTATCTTTTGCCTAAAAAGGCATATCCTACAAGGCAGCAGGACATGAAGCAGATTGTACTGGGTTACATGTTACCAGTAGCAGGATAAGCCTGACCTGACAATAAAAGATAGGATTAAAAAGTCTAAACTATCAGTTAGAAATAAAAAGTCTAAACTATCAGTTAGACATAAAAAGTTTAAACTATCAGTTAGAAATAAAAAGTCTAAACTATCAGTTAGAAATAAAAAGTTTAAACTATCAGTTAGAAATAAAAATTCTAAACTATCAGTTAGAAATAAAAAGTTTAAACTATCAGATCAAAATAAAAAGTCTAATCTATCAGTTAGAAATAAAAAGTCTAATCTATCAGTTAGAAATAAAAAGTCTGAACTATCAGTTAGAAATAAAAAGTTTAAACTTTAAAATTAAAGAGCGATTTTATTTTGGTATATTACTCTTTAAAATTAAAGAGTAATATACCAAAATAAAATCGCTTTTTAGAAAAGGTCTTTAGAAAAGGTATACAAAGCAGCGGAGTTGTTAAATTCAAAAATGTATATAAGCATCATTACCCTTTCTCCACTTGTTTACAAACAAAATCAAAAACGAGAGTGTAAAAATCTTTATAACAAACTACAGCGGTAACTGTAATTATACTAATGCAACATCTCTTTAGAAAATGATGCTTTACAAATAAATTCGTTATTGCATTCTTGTGGTATTTAGAAGAACTATATTTGTGAGTCATTTAAAGCATAAAACTGTTGAAGTAGTTTACGCTAAGCTTTTTTAAACACCAAAATCTAATGGGGGCAGAATATGGCAACAAAATATGTACAAATGAGCTAGTAAGCAGAGCAACAAGTTGTTTTTTATTGACAGTTGCTTTTAATATACATATTTTGTTGCCACATTTTGCCGCCATAAAATTTTAGTGCTTGAAAAAGCTTAGCGAAAACTAAGTGCGGCCGTGGCGCAGTTGTTAGAGGGCTTTCTTTATAAACAGGAGATCCAGGTTTGAAACGAGCTTTAGACATATTTTACGTCACGGTAGAGAAAGAGACGTGAACTTCCTGGTTAAATCTACTTCCGCGGTGCTCTGTGACAAGACCGTTAGGTTTTCTTGGAGCACCTTAAAAACAAACTGAAAAAAAATAAAAAACATGACAGGAACGTACACGCAAGTGAACCCCTACAAGACTAGTTTACCTTCTATCAATTTGGGAGGATTTCTGGTCGTCCAAATAGTTGGTAACTAGTGCGATGATGTCATAGTAAGTTTAACCGTAATTTGATGAGCATATCACCATAGTTAATTTAGGTTGTTGGGTCAATCTTATTTTTGAGTAGGGGCCAATTGTATCAAAATTATTTCATTATACTCTCTGTTTTGATATTCTACCCTGTTTTTCTTATAATTTTGTAAAAAAAAAATAACAATGATAATTAATTAGGAGCCTCGTTATGTTGAAAAAGAGGCTTTAGAACCATTATGTCAAATAGAGATTTATTACCATTCGCTGACATAGCAATTAAAAGCATGCTGCGCTAAACTATCATCACAATGACAGATGATTTTTTTTTTAAAAAGTGTTTAATAATTATGTTCTTATAATATTGGGTGGGCATGGATGACATCAATTCTGAATTGAAAAAAAAAAATTATTTAAAACCCTGTAAGAAAATTCTGCTTATGAGTAATGCTAAAACTCGAATGTCTGTTTGACAAAATGCAATTGCATATTTATTGGTTTTTCAACGGTTAAAAAAAGAAGTGAAATTTTAAGTATATTTCCAGGACAATTTTGAATGATCTTTGTTTTCTAATTATTTCCAGATTATAAAACTCTCATCAAAAGCAAGTTTAATCATGGGTCAAATCAAAAAAACCTTTGCACATCACAACGAAAGTATACTTACGTTACTATACTAAGTATTTGTACGACCAACTTGCTGCTCCAGTTTAGTCTTCAAATATAAAAGGAGATGTTATTAATATGGATAAAGTGATAAAACGAAAAAAGTCTTATTTAGAGTCTTAATCCTTAATTAATAACTTTAGAGAAGAAAAAAAAGACGGGGGTACATAATACAGATTTTCAAAATATTTAAAGAAATAGATAAAGTTGAGCTAATCAATCCACCCTTGTTTAAAAGTCTAAATACGAGTGATCACTGGTTTAAATAAGACAAGGAAATAACAAATAATGGAGTTAGACATAATATTTTATTAAACAGATTTGCACCATTATGGAATCCTTCTGCCAGAAGAAGCTGTCAACACAAAACCTTTGAGCGAATTCAAAAGCATTTATGATAGAAGCATAAATGAAAAATTTTATCGAATTAAAAAGAATTGAAGAATATTTGAATAAAAACATGAAAAGGCTGTCAAAAGTGTGCAACACTTAACACTTGCTTGTGTTTTTACTTAACATTTGCCGGTGTTTTAACCAGCTACAGCATTAAATTATAATATACTATACGTTTTACCATAAATAAATAAAAAAATTTTAATAAAAATTTTATTAAATAAATAAATACTATATATTGAAGAATTTAAAAAGTAGGTAAAAATATAATAATTTCTAATGAAATGGAAAAGGTTACAGAAAAATTTAGCTAAAAATTGAAAAATCAAAGAGAATTTATTTTACATAAGAAGGCATTTTGCATAAATCAGTACCTAATTATATTTTATGAATTTAAAAAAAAACAAAAAAAAAAAAAAAAAAAAAAATGGTTTTCTACAGGTTAAAATGACCTTAAATACTTTTATATTGATAATTGTGATATATTCCTATTAAAAAAAATTTATATTTACATTAGCCTTTTTAGAAATATCTTACACGTAAGACTTATATGTTTTCTGTTTTTTCCTTCTTATAAAATAAACATAAAGACCAAACACTGCGCCTATAATTGAACCATATAGTACAACACACATACTTAGATCAACGCGTGACATACCAAGCAAAGAAAATGGCGGAGAAGCTGTACGCGAGTAAAACTTGTAAGTAAATCGGTTTCGAACGGCATCACTATCCTGCGTTTCGCCGTCTATAATTTTTTTATTATCTTTAATTTGAATCTTGTTAAGATTATAGTGATCTTTAAGAAATTCCAAAACAAATTTACGGCTCCACTTCGCATTGTTCTCGACAACAGTAGGTGAAAAAATAAGAGTATCTTTTGTACTTATAGGATTATGACAGCTTGCACATAAGCTTTTGGGCGGAAACTGAACTTTTCTATGAAAGGGATCAGAAGATATGTCTCTTTCTAACCGAGCATTTACGCGATTGTGACGAGACCAAAGCCAAACAATGGCTTCTTCTTGAGTTTTGACTTCCTTCTGCAAATCTTTAGACATTTCAATAAAATGATCGCGACAATAACGGCAACCAAAATAATGATCAATGAAAGATCTTATTCTTCTAAGAATTTCATAACCAGTCATACCACTGTCGTCACTACAGCTTACAGTTAATGAGTGAAAAAGCGTCCACAACCCGCATGGAAATCCACGATACTTTTCCGCGCTTCCCTTACAACCATGCCATTTAATTTCTGAAGGAAGATAAGAGTTGCTTTCCTAAATTTAACATATTGTTCACTACTTTACGTTTTTCAGAAAGAAATGATAATTAAGTTAATAATAATAACTTAATTAGAAAGTAGTAACAATAATAAACTATTAATTAAAATATAACCTGATTTTCCTCAATATACTTCACAAACTTTTCAGAGCTAATCTCATTGCCAAGGTCATGCAGCCACTTATCAAGTTTCCTAAGAAAGTTCTGCAAAAATGATCCGGAAGGAAGGCACTAGATAAATGTAACTGTAATATTTACCAATTCATTACTACATCATTAATTATAGTTCATGTACAAATTAATATTTGTTTAATTTAAATAAATTAAAAGCTATGAAAAAAAAATTATGAAATTAATTTTGAAAGTAATTGAATGTTTTTGTGACTAATTTACGAGAAATTTAAATATAATTTAAATAAAATTTGTATTAGTTAAAAAAACAAGCTTTTTAAATTCAAAAATACAAATAAATTTTGGAAATTTTTTTTTTGGATTATAAACCAAAGTTTTTTAAATTTGAATTCGATAAACGGCATATTAAACAACTCTTACCTTAGCCAAAAGATTGACCCAATCTTTCAATGCAACCATAGCATCACCATTAATTATATTTATTTTTCCCACTTCACGAAGCAGAGAAAAAGATATTGCACTTGTAATATCTTGCATATGGACTTCAGAGGATCTATTTAAATAAATATTTTATTTTACTTCTATTCAAATCATCATAATTATCAATATCATTATCATCATCATTGTCCTCATTATCATCCTCCTCATCATCCCCATCCTCCTCCTCCTTCTCATCATCCTCCTCCTTCCCATCCTCCTCCTCCTCCTCCTCCTCATCATCATCATTATAATCATCGTCCTCCTTCTCATCATCATCGTTGTTTTTTTATTAGGTTTTGGAGATGTATCAAATAATATATTTTTATTAATTTAGAGGCTATATTAATAAATATTGACAAAAATGTCTTAAAGATTTTTTAATTTTAAACATTTTTTCAGAAAATTTATTTATAAAATTAAAATAATCTAATATAAAAAATAATAAAATATAACAACCTAATATAAAAAAAACTATATATATTAGAGCTTTGTTTCAAATTGAGCAAAGTCTGTTGAGTTGATGGAGACAAGATCTTTAGAGTTGATGGAGACAAGTTCTTTAGAGAAGAATAGTTGATCAATTTAACTAATAAAAGAACTTAAAGATCATACCATGACCAACCATGCATTCAGTTTAAACATAAATTTAAGGACCATGCATTCAGTTTAAACATAAATGGCCATTTAATAAAAATAAACATTAAAGACCATGCATTCAGTTTAAACATAAATGGCCATTTGACTAGAATTTGTGAAAACTGTAAAACAAAACTAGATTTTTAACAGAAAGGTAAATCAGTAAAACTGTAGAGACTTCCTGGTTAAATAATAATTTTAAAGTTAAATATACAGAACCGTAAAGCTCAAGCTAATTTTGCAAAAAAACATTTAGATTGGATACCAAATAAGTGGGCAAAAGTTCTAATGAATCATGAATCTAAATTCATCACTCCAAAGAACTAAGTATTTGGATTGGATGAAATTATGTTTAACATCCTTGAGGTGAGAGATTCAATCCTAAGTACCAACTTCTAACTGTTAACTGCAAGGTGGTAGATAATATGATAGTTTGGGGTTGCTTCAGCCATGATTGTATTGAACCTTTTCTTTGTATTTAAGGAATTATGGATCAGCATGTGTATAAGGATATCATCAACAATAAAATGCTTTGTCAGGATAAAATGCTAAAGGATGGATATTTCAAAAAGATAATGACCTGAAGCAAATCTTGCAACAACAATAACAAAAATAAATGCTTAAATCTTCATCCACAGACAACATTGTTTCTTGTGCGCTAAAAGAAATATCTGTTTTTAGTGAGAACACAAATATAAAACTTATAACAGAAGGAAATGTTTTTGTTGTCAAAATATAGAGAGAACACCTATAAATCAGATAAGAATTGAAACAATCTTGAGTTGTAAAAAAAAATCTTTAAGATTATGCAGGATAATAAAAAAAAGATGTTGGAAGATTCAAAAAGAACACCTATGCTGTTACAAATAGGTTACACTAGGTTACAAATAGGTTACAATAGGTTTTATAATTTCAAAAAATGTCAATTCAAGAGTAGTTAAAACTTTTCTTTAAAAAGATATTCTATTGACTCTATTGACTGTAAATTAAATTGTTTCTTTAGTAAATTAGATCTTTTTAACTCTGCTTTAAGTGTTGGCATTTATGGAAGACAGGTTTTTCTAAAGGTTGTTGCGATCATTTTAAAGTCTACTTTAAACATAAATATAAAAATATGATATAGATTAAGTTGAAATACATTGAGTATTTTGAATTTATTAAAAAGAATTTTACTGTGCGAGAAACGATCCACATTTTCAATAATTTTTACAGCGTGTTTTTGTTTATTTAGAAACTTTTTATTTTTAGATACATAAGTGCTGCGCCAAGCAACGTTGGTGTAATTTAGATAGAAATGAATATAAGAAAAGTAAATGAGTTTCAAACAATTTCAGTTTAACAACTGATTGGCTTTGCATAAAAGGCCTATATTTTTTGAGATTTTCTTTTGGATTAAACGTATGTGCTCCTTCCACATTACATTTTCAGGTGTTTCTAAAGGTTGTTCTGAACATTTTCGACCATTCAGCATTATACTTTCAACCAAAGAAACAGAGTTACAACAGCTTAAAAAGGTGATCATATAAGATAGAAATTAGAGAAAAATCATCACAATCTAAAGACATTTTTATTAATTCATTCAGCTCAATTAAACCTAGGCGACTGATCTCAAATACCCAAATTGATTACAGCCAAAGCTATGAGTTAAATATGCATAAACAGCTTTGAAATATTTTCGTAACAATTTAAATTTTTTTTTTTTTTAACAACCTTGCTTCCAACAAGGCTGCAAGCAACCACGATTAGAGTTGGATGTTACTGGAAGAGAAAAGACAAAGTTTATAGAGCAAGATAACGATTGACAGACAACTTAAAAGATTGCAAGCTATATGAATCAGGAAAGCAAGATGCAGGAAGTTATTCCCAAAAAACTGATGTTCAAGGAAACTAGATAAATAAGAGTTTTTGGAGCACTTAGAAATAGTCTCAGAATAAGGATGAGACTTAATTGAATGATGAGTAACACGAGAATGAATTTTAGTAGATAGCACAAAAGCTATCTTTAGAGCAGTGCCTGTTATAATGTTTGTAGAAAAAAGAAAGAGAAGCAACATTACAACGATGTGATAATGGTTGTAGGTTGGCTGCAAGAGCAGGTCCAACTTTGTTTACAATATGTTTTTGCACATTTTCTAAATGAGAAAGGACATCATTGGAAGATCTACCTCAGATATGGCAACAGTATTCCATACAAGGACAGATTTGAGATTTATAGAGATAAAGAATAGAATCCTAATTAAGAAAGTGTCGAGCACAATAAAAAGATGCAACCTTAGAAGATGCTAATTTTGAAATTGATTTAATATATGGTTTCCAAGAAAGATTGGAAGTAAGAGTTAATCTTAGAAGATGAAGGGTAAATGACTCATCGAGTATATCACCATTCATAAATCTACTTTGACTAACATGCCCTTGCAGAGATACATGTTAAGCGAACACCTGGCTTTTCTTGATCTATTACAGTATAACTGTAATAGATTTTCAAGAAAAGCATATAAAAGTAGAAATAAAATTGATTTTGTGGCTTTTGACTGTGTAATTTCTGTAAAAATTTTTCAAACAAGCATGCATCTCTCTAAGACAACAAAAAGATATTTGAAATTTATAAAATAACACCATTTATAAATCAATAATACTTCTACTATTAAATGCTGTACTAATCAACCAACACCAATCAAGCAACACCAATCAACCAAAACCAATCAACCAACACCAATTAACCAAAATCAATCAATCAATCTAGCATATGCATTAACTAAGAGAATCCTACTCACACTATGTCAAATCCAAAGGACCAATAAAATCTTTCTATGAAAGCATTCTATAGACCTTTTTAGTACATTTAAAGGTGTTTTTCAAATCTTTTAACTTTTTCTTAGCCAAATGTTTGCAGTTTAAACAATCCCCTTCTTAATTAAGGGGGTAGTAAACACCAAATGTTTTTGATGCAATTTGAATTCTTTTAATAAATTTGGATTTGATTTAAGAATGCAAAAACTTTTTACAAACTATTATTCCCTTTGAAAATTAATAGGTGAGACTGCATATATATTTATAGAGATTTTGGGATCTTTATATTTTTATAGAGTGCTTAGGAACATTATATGTTTATAGAGTGTTTAAAAGAGATGTTTAAAAAGTGCTTAGAATCTTTATAGATCTTAGGCATTTTTGTGAAGGGAATAATAGTTTTTAAAAAGTTTTTGTGTATTCTTAAACTAAATCCAAATTTATTAATAGAATTCAAATTTCATCAAAAAACGTTTTGGCGTTTACTAGTCCTTCAATTGGGGCTATCTAGAGGGTTGTTAAAATTATAAACATTTGGCTCAGACAAACTTAGAAAATTTTAAAAACACCTCTCAATGTACTAATAAAGTCTATACAATGCTTCCATAGAAGTATTTTTTTTCTTTTTAGAAAAGGTTAATTATGACTTAGACAGGGTGTGTACTAAGTTCTAAAAAAACCTAAAGAAGATACTGTTAGTTATAAAAAATGTCTATCATGGTTAGAAATTAAGAGTTATGGCTGTTAAACATGGTTGTTGAATATTAGGGTGACAACTTTTTTGCATTTTTTTAACTTTTTTCAAAAAATGCAAATACATCCATACAAATGTTCTCCATCTATATACAAGCTTATATTGATAATTTTAGCTTACTAGGATCATTGGAACAGGTAGATGTATTTTTTCAATAATTTGAATACATTTTTTTCAAATATATTCTAACAAATGCATTTAAAAAAGCTTGTGTTAGTATTATTACTGTTTTATTAACTTCAATCTGAGATAATTTACAAAAGAGTTTAACAAATAAAACATGTTTGCACTTACAACAATATAACAAATAACAATATCTATTTCAAATTAACAAAATCTTTCTGATAAACATTCTTTGAAATTGGTTTTCAATTTTCTCAAACAACTAGCAAAATGTTTTGCCTTTGATCCTCAGAGAGTGAAGAGTTCACAAACTTTTGTATAAATCGAATGTTTCTTTCAGAACAATCATTTGTGACACTAAGGTGTTTAATAAAAAGGAAAAATTTCTGGTACGAAGGTATTGACTCTAAACCTTTATTCTGGCATGCTTCTAACAAAATCTTTGTTTCCTTTACTAAGTCCAAAACGACAAAAAGAAACCAGCTTTCACAGGTAACAAGTTCACAAAGTTTAGTATTTTCATCTACTAAAACAGGAAGAGGTTTCTCTTTATTAATTTGACTAATGTCAGGAACCTCATGCTCCAACAAGGCTTTCAAAATTTCAAAACTTGAATTTCAAGGTCAGAATCAGCAAGCGCCATGACTACTGCTTTAGGTGAAAGATAACAGGAGTGAGATTTTAAACTATTTAGTAGTGAAGGTCCTACATTATTATCCAATTCATTATTAATGATTTTTGCTACTTTGAATGAATCGAAGTCATTTAATATTAAATGTTCAGCAAGACTTGATTTTAAAAACCCTGAAACATAAAATATAACAATCATTAGACCAACTCTAGACACTAGAATCTGCTGGTCTTGATTTAAGTAATTTATAACTAGCAATACCAATTCCAAAGCCATTTAATATAATACACCTGCCAACTTCATGACAGGCACTTGGTTGATGAATCCTAAAGTTTTTTAGCTTATCAGACTGAATATTAAGATAGAAAGCTAAGTATTCCACAAGATGCCTGTAATCATCTTGGGGGAAAATCTCAAATTCAAGAACAAATTCATTAAATATTTTTGCCTCCAAGTACATCTGATGAATTCTGGAACCAATTATGAGAGCTTCAAGAGCTCTTCAAACTTTTTAAAACTAGAAGAGGCACTACAAGCATAAAAAAATGGACAAAATTTTCCCATTGCTTCTTAAAGTTGGAGTAAAGAGCTTTTCATGGACCCTTTGTGTTATCTCCAGTTATTTATTTTTTAAGTATGTTCAATATGTATTTCATGTATGTGGTGCCGAAATAATAGCCACAATAAAGGTTTCTGAAACACTCTTGTCAATATTATAATTGCACTCTCCTTCCTACCAGTGTTGGTTGCTTTAGTATCAAAACACACAGCAAATACTTGGCCTAAAACTTCAAAATATTCTAACAAATTTTGAATAACTAAAGCCTGATCAGATAATTTACCTGTGTCAATTGGAACAGTTCCTAAAAGAAGATAGCCCTTGTGTTATAATTCAGGACTAGTAACAGACACAGCAAATCTACCTCTTGTAACTGTTTGTTGGATTTCCTTATACAAACGTGTAACTAGTTTGCCATCAAAGTGAAGGATTTCCTCTTATTTTCTCAATAAAATTCTGTCTAATTTCATTTCCATGATTTTAAACAACCATAACGCTTCAACCTAACTGTTTCTCTAATTATCTTAATTTTTTCATATTTACTCCAAGGTAGTTCATAATACTGGCTATAAACATTGTTTGATCTTGTAATTTAAGCCGATTCTTACACTGAGAGGAGTTGTAGCTGCAATTAGGCCATCTCGAGTAATTTCTTTATCGACAAGGATTAAATCGGATCGAAGCATGAGTAGTATGTCATTAATTTTCTTCTTTTTAGCGTTGTTTGATGTTTTTTGTCAATATTCATCCTCATCAGAATTATAATTAGAGTTCCATCTTCATCAGAAATATAATTAGAGTTTCATCAAATTCCAAGATTTTCCATCAATGCCAGATTTGAAAAAATCTACAATAATATTAACAAAAAATGAAAATGAAAACGTACACTCAGCTTATTCTATAAAGGAATATACAATACTCATGTAAAATATACAATTTAGATTTTTCATGATAAATATTACCTGATTCAGATATCAATTTTATCTCATTTGAATAATTTCCATCAGCATTTTTAATTCTAAATCTTCTAAATCTAAGTAATCATAGTTCTGGTCATTATATTATTGTGCATCTTCATTGACATTTTTTTCTTATAATCTGTATATCTATGATATCTCTCTTGACTATGTTCAATCTTTGCTTCAAATTCTTTGTCGATATGCCTGCTTACAAACTGTTTTTCAGATTTTTTCTAATCTTCCAAAAATGCTAAATCTTTCTTTCTACTCTCTTTGTTTATTGGCATTTCTTGACTGAGTTGTATAAGCTCATTAATATTAGGTTTTCCAATTTCAAAAAGTCTCCATGATTGATTGAAATTCTTCATTTAACTTATCTTAGATGTACTTTTTCTGAACTAGCAACTTTCCCTTGGTCATTAATACCCATTTTTTGTGAAGTTTCACAAATTTTGATAATATTTTATCCTCACCAATAATCTAATTTTTAAAACCACAGGACTCCCAGATGTTTACTAATTTTCTAAGAAGACACAAATCTCCATTTTCCTGATAACAAGTTGTTTTTCCTTTGCATTTCATGTTAAAATTTGATCCCATAGGACAAGAAAAATTCTTAATATGTAAATACTTTTGAATCATTTTGATCTACTGCTGAAAATATATTGATAATGTCTTAGAATTAACCCATTAGTTGGAAGCTGATTCAGAGGTAAAAAAGAAATAGGAGATTTAAGAAGGTAAAGGGGGATATTACAACTGACATTTAGATGTCTAACATGTTTTGCCTTTTTTTCAATACTTGATTTCATCTTTGTGTCTATATGTTGGCAATTACATAAATAATGTTTAATGTTTATTTTTTATTTATATTTAATTTGAACACAATTCATTAAATTTATTAAATTTAATGAATTGTTTAATTCATTAAATTTATGTCATTAATAAATAATATACTAAATAACACATTTAATAAATCTTACCTGAAACTGTTTACTACGCCTTTTTTCTATAGGTGCAATTTTTTATTAGTAGTTTTGTTAACAGTTTAAAAAAGTTCAAAACTGCTGTAACACATTTTGCAATGCAGTGTTATTGTTATAAACATTAAATTACATTTTACTTTTCAAACTAATACATTTTGAAGAAGTAAAAAATATTGACAATAAACAAAGAAAATTATGAAATAGTGATTAATTATGAAATCATCCGATTTCTACATTTAGCACTAATACTAGTCCTTAAGACCAAAACTGTTTTAATATCACTGTGGGGTGTAGAAAAGAATTAAACACAGTGTTAATTTTTTTTTTTGGAAAAAAATTGTCACCCTATTGAATATGGTTCAATCAGATTCTAAGAAGATTAGAATTTAAAAAAACCTGAATTTCAACTGAAAAATTTCAACGGAAAACCTCTAAATAAGAGCAACATTATTGTTATCATATTTAATACAATACAAATATATTACAAAAAAAATATCCATTGTTTTTGTGCTTAAAATTAATACCAACTGAAAGTAACAACCACATAAACTGGCAGGTGGAAATAAGTATCTATTTAATCGAAGAACATATGTAAAATATGACTTTTGTAGATAATATGATATTTTATACTTCAGATTTGTTACTTTTATACATTTTTGTGTGCATATTTTTGCATTTTCCAAAAAGATAAAATAGATAAGTAAAAATTTACAAAACAAAAACAAAAATACATGTTAGCTACAACTTGCAAAGCTTTTTCATCAATAACTAAAGGTGGATGTAAATCTTCTAATGCATTTATTACATCACCACCAGCCAATTGATTTAAGACATTTAAATATGCACTGTGAGTTCGATTCATTCTAAAAATTAAAAAAAAACTTGTTTAGAAAAACATAAAAATACTTATGCAACTTTCAAAATAATATTATTAGTAAAAACCAAAAGAACTATATTATAATTATAGCTTATAATTTTATATATATATATATATATATATATATATATATATATATATATATATATATATATATATATATATATATATATATATATATATATATATATATATATATATATATATATATATATATATATTAGTTGAATGAAAGTAATTTAGAAAAATTACTAAAACATATTTACACCAATATAATTTAAAAGTATTACAAAAATGTTATATTTGTTGGCCATTTACATTTCAAAAACAATAAAAAAAACTATTGAATTGTTTATTATTAAAAAGTTTTTATAGCACATCAAGTAAAACATTTGTTCATTTTTATGTCAATTTCTTTCATCAATTTTTATGTAAAAGTAGCAATATACTTATCTGAAGTAAATACACATGAAACAAATAAAAATCTGAAGTAAATACAAATAAGAGTAAATACAGTAACGAAGTAAATACAAATAAGCTTTTTTGAAGCAATAAAATTGATGGAAAATGTTAAGCAAAAAATTATTATAACTTATTTAAAAATTTTAAAAATGAATTATAATAACAATTTATTGATAATTATAAAGTAATAATCTTATAAATAACAAGTAACTTTTAATTATTCTTATCAATTTAATATAATATAAAATTGGTAATAATTAGGGCTGTACCGGATTTAATTTTTTCAAATCCGGCCGGAGCCGGATTTGCCGGATTTTTACTGACAGATCCGGCCGGAATCGGAGCCGGAGCCGGATTTCAAAACAAAACTACAGGAGCCAAAATCCTGTACATCTCTAATTGGTGTTGAGCATGGTCAACAATATGGACTATTCAGAATACCAAGTGACTGCTGTTTTCTGTTAAACTTCATTGTTGTTATTTAAAAAGTTTTATAGCAATTTCTATATATAAATTAATAGAAATTCTAAAGATATTCTATAGGCTATATGTTTTAAAAGTTTATAGTAATTCTATTGAACTTTTTTTTCGGGATTTTGTCACTCCGCCACTGTAGTAGATCATTGTGTCTATTTATTTCTGGTTCTTTCGGATATTTTATTAGCTGAGTTTCAATGCCTTTTAGTAATTGTTGTTTATGTGCCCTGCCACCAGCGGACGTAGACTGAATAATTTTATCAATAAATTGCCAGAGTAATGATGATGATGTTGTAAAAAAATTATTAAGCCCGGCTTATTTCGGTTGATTTTCTTCAGTTTTGTCAATCTTCTGTTCAGCATGCTCAGATTGACTTCAATCTTGTTTTTTCAGCTGTCAGTGTTGCCTGTAATGAGGAGAATTTAGTTTTAAATTGTGAGTCAACCAGCCTCGTCAGTATATAAAGAGGTTTCTCTTTTCAATGCTTTTAAAACGCTCATCCAATCACTTGATTAGGGTTGACATCATAGTCTTTATACCTGCATCATTCTAGAATATCGTGTGTCTTCCCTTCAAATTTTTTTGTTGCGTTGTTGTTTTAAATTAAACTTAGCTTATTAAATTATAAAGAAATATAAATACAAATACCAAAACAAATATGAGGTTCATAAAATATAGAATTACAAAAATAATTGATTTTTATAAATAAAATATTAGGTATACATGTAAACACGGGCAAAAAAAATGTAATAAATATTTGACAAAGTTCAAAACTCCGGCTAAAATTATGCCGGATTTGCTAAATTTTTGCCGGAGCCGGATTTGGGCCGGATTTGTAAAAATGGCCGGATTTCGGCCGGAGCAGGAGCCGGAGCCGAAATCCGGTACAGCCCTAGTAATAATAATTAAAATGTTACTCTCACTTGATATTTAACAGACCTAATAATAAAATAAATTATTGTTATTACTTTTTAAATTGAAAAAAATACAAAAATAAGAAATTAAATATTTTTTTGTTTAGAATTAAAATAAAATATTTGTTTTACCATTTTCATCTAAAGCATTTTTTTTTTTGCTGTTCTTTTAAAATTTAAATAGCAAATAAAAAATGGGGTATGCAATTTTTAAAATTGCACACACCTAATAATCATCTGACCAGTACTTTGTGCACTTTCATTAAATTTTAAGCAAGGAAGACTTTAACTATTGTGCAAACATGATTGAATGCATCAAATTCTAATCATTTTTTTTTTTTGCAAATATTTAGTAAACTGTAAAAATAATTTTATTGAGCACACAGTTCTTAGAATAACAAATGACACCCAAAAACATATTTTGATATAAAACATATATTGTTACTGTGCAGAATCTAGCAATAAAAAAAGCATCTCATAATTTTGTTGTTTAAAATCAAACATTTCTGCAAATGACTACTTATTTTATATGATTAATTGACACAAAGTAACTTTTTAAAAGTGATCTTAACAAAAATATTGTAATGTGTGCTATTAAACAACACCAACTGTGCATGACACAGTCAGTGTTCTGAAAAACTTCTTGTTTTGCTGTTATGGTTAAGTATTTCTCTAAATATGGTTTAATCACTGCCAGATTAAAACCAAATGAAAAAAAAAAATGTAATATTAAAGCAGAATTTTGATCCAAGTTTGTTGCAACACATGTTAAACATGTAATTTACTCTAATAAAAACTGTGGCTTATTTCATAATGGCTTTAAACCACTATGAAATAATAAAATGATATTTCAATCAGCCTTAGACCACCACACCACCACACCCAATGGTTATAAGCCTTAGACCACACCCAATAGTTATAATTTTATGTTTTATAGTTACTAGATAAGTTTGTGAAATTTTGAAGTTTTTTAAAACTTGATAAAACTAAACCAGTAATTGATCACTATAAATTAAAATTTTTTTCACTTGATTCTATTATATATGGACTTCATTCTAATATATACGAACTTCATTCTATTATATATGGACTTCATTCTATTACATATGGACTTCATTCTATTATATATGGACTTCATTCTATTACATATGGACTTCATTCTATTATATATGGATAAATAAAACTACTCACGGACTCAGTTCTTTAAACTTTCCAGTAGAAATAGTAATTAATATTAATGATGGAATTGTAACAACGTTATATTTACTTTTAAGTTCATCCTAAAAAAAAAGGTTTAGCAAAACAATTACCTTAAATACTTTTTCTTTTAAATAAGAAGAAATGTAAACATATCAACAATTATAAGTTTAACATCATTGAAATACATGTAAACATATCAACAATTATAAGTTTAACACCGGGCATAAAAAATGATTGATAGAATCGTACTGAAATAACTATCTTTGGGAGCTTCAGTACATCAACTAAGAGGATTAGGCAATAAATTTAAAGTGAATTTTGCATTTTTTTTTATTTGCAACAATATTTTTAAACTTATTCAAAAGTTGAAATGTTAATAAATCCATTGCTAAGGGAGAAAAAAGCAATAATTTTGAAATTATTTTATAAGAAATTTTGGTTTTAAGTTTTTATTATATAACTGTTTTTTGTTATTATGCTTTTGTAAAATATAAAAAAATAGAAAAACTTCAAGCCATACTGTTTAAATAAAAAAATAGAAAAACTTCAAACTGTTTCAAATCTTATAATTAAAGAGCTCACATTAAATTTGATTTTATATTAATTTTTGTAAATATCAAACTTTTAAATAATTTGAAACTAGTTAAAGTGATTTTCAATGAAAAAGATCTTATCATGAATTGTAACAATCTTAATGATTCTTTCATTCATATCATTCAATAACTTTATTTTTTCTTTCCTGATTAGAATATTCTATTGATTTCTTTTGTATTTTGAAGACTTGTTTGCAAACTTAGTGCTAGCATAACAAATGGTTGCAGAATTAACATAAGTTAAATTTGTGTTGTCTATCTTTACAAATAAATGTAAAGATAGACAACACAAATCTTTAAAAAAAGTTGAAAACATCATTATCAAATGTCATATATCCAAATAAAAGTATTTATAATCATCAAAACTTAAAAAAAAAATTTTACAACATAATTCATATACATTCTTATATAAATATAACCAAACAAACAAAATTAAATTTAAAAAAGAAAACATACATTAGATGCTCTTTTTAAAACAACTTTTTTACTTTTCATTGTATCTAAAGCCAACTAAAAATTAAAAGTTGAAAAAAGAAAACAATACAAAAAATACAAAGTTAAATTCATTACATATTAATGATCGTATTACAAATTCTAATAATTTATCTAATATTCTTAAAAATACTTACAGTTTTTCCAAGGTATGAATCAGTGGAATCAAATAGTAATGCTAAATATCGATATGGTATAAAGTCTTTTTTATATAAGTAATTTTGTACATCACCACCACTAAATTAAATAAACATGTTTCAACAAATAAACAGTATTCAATATTGAAATATATTGTTTAAAAAACAAAGCATTTTTTAAAAGTTTTTATGAAAATTATAGGTTTTTATTGGTTCAAATAATACTGGGACGATGTTTTAAAGTTTCTTTTGTTAACTTAAATATAATGTTAAACAAAAAAATGTTTTAAACAAAAACCTTGAAAAAATGCTTAAAAAATGAAACAAAATATTTTTAGTTTAGTAGATAACTAAGTTCTTTAGTTTTTTTTTTCAACTTTCTTCAAATTTCAAAAAAGTTCTTAGAAAGTTTTTAGAAATCCGCAAAATGGATTTTAGAGATTTAAAGGCTATTACAAAAAAATTTTTCTAAAAAAAAAATAGATTTTTGGTAAAAGCCTTTAAAATACATTTTTTATTTATTGAGTTTTGAGTTTGATTGATACTAACATAAAAATTAGTTGATTTTAACACAAAAAGAAATAAGATATAAATAAAATGTAAAAAATTACTTAAAAAAACGAAATGGTAATTCATTTCTCCTGAAAACTCCTCCTTTTTGTTTCTCCATATAGTCCATTAAACCATTTCTCATACTTTCAACATCTTTTGTATCTTTAAAAAAATAACTTATTTCTATTTGATGTTTTTATATGTATATTTTAAATCAAAACTTCTAATATTATCCAACCATTTACCTTTGTAAGTGTGACCATGCGCATTTTTATCAGGTTTCTCTTGCCAATTTACAGGGAAAAACTGAAAAGAAACACAAATTAAAAAATAACAACTGAAAAATTGAAATTATCATTAATTGTTATATATATATTTACATATATAACAATATATATATATATATATATATATATATATATATATATATATATATATACATATATATATATATATATATATATATATATATATATATATATATATATACACATATATATATACACACATATATATATATATATATATATATATATATACACACACATATATATACACATATATATATACATATATATATATATATATATATATATATATATATATATATATATATATATATATATATATATATATATATATATATATATATTGTATAGTAGTTGAAAGAGACTTTAATGGTTAAAAAAAAAAAGGTCTCTTTCTACACTTTAATGGTCTCTTTCAACCGTTGAAAAAAAAGCGTTGAACGCTTTTTTTTTACATTTAAGCAACATTAAAATTTAAGTGAGATTTTAATGCAATTTAAACGCTAAAAAAATTAAAATATGAAGTACATTAAGTTTTATCATAGGATTTTTAGGGTTTTGGCTGTTTGTTTTTTTATGAAGTACATTAAACTCTGTTATTAAGTTGAGAAGGGTTTTGGCTGACATTAAGTTAAAAAGGGTTTTGGCTGTTTATTTATTTTATGAAGTACATTAAGTTTTAAAGGATTTTTAGGGTTTTTGCTGTTTGTAGTGGAGTCCTTTTTTACTGCAGTATGGAGCAGGTGTAAATTGCAGGGTAAAGCACAAATAGCGATAATGTTTATCTTTCGGGATAAACTAGGTATTGGTGCTGAGATGCCAGTAATAATAAACGCAATTCTGAGGAGAAGTTTATTACCACTACTACATAAATTATGATTACGTAAAAGCAATAATGTTTTTCCTTGATATTATACATTCTTTCATTTTATATTTATTTTAAATATTGATACCTATGCATATGTATATTTGTGTTAAAGTGAGTTTTAACTTTTGCATTTAAAGAAAATTTATGTATTTTGTTTTAGGTATACTATAACGATAAAATTGCTGTTGACTATGATTTGTGGATAAACTTTTTCTTTTTAAAATAAATCTGTGTTTATTTTCCTTTTTCTTTGTTTTTAATGCTTATCCTCCTTTATATAAGAAATTTTTTCAATAGAAAAATTTCATATTTTTCAGTAGGCTTTCATTGCTCAGTGTAGTTCAAGCACCACAGATTACCTGCATCAAATTTAACCAAAAATTTTTTGTCATATTTGAGCTGGTTCTACTAATGATGATCTTATCTAAACAAGGTCCAAAAACACTTTGTAAATGTATGCTCCTTATCTGCCAAGCTTGAGCCACTCTCCTATCGGCATTATGCTGGGTTTTTTTCTTTTTTTACAAAAACTTGGTCACTGCTCAAAATAGCTATCATCTTTAGTTTCATTAACCAAAACACATTCTTATTGGACTTGTCATTCAGTCCCATTTTTTTACTGTATCTGTCCCTTCATGCTCTAAAAAGGTTTATTTATCTAAGTTTTTTCCTCGCACTTCAATGCCAGGTCTTCATCTTTTACTGACTTCATCTTTATCTTTACCTTCAACTTTTTAAGTCTTCTTTAAACCATTTCTTTGTTTTCTAGTAACTTCCAACTTAAAAGTGATCAATTGCAGTCTTGTTAGAAGTGAATTAGTTAAAAAAAAAAGTTAACTTATGGCTCATTTTCCAGACAACAATACACACTAACATTTACTCTTTGTGTTATAGCTTGTCTCTGCCCCTTTAAAAGACTCAATTTTTTCTTCTCCATTAGATGGTTCCGATTATGGTAAGATATCACTCAATCCTTTATCTGAAATTTTTCCTATACCAGACTTCAAAAAAAAAAAAGACCTTTTTTATTATTGCAATAAATTGATGTTAAAGGTATTGTCCGACATAAAAACCAATAATTGATGCTAAAGGTATTGTCCGACATAAAGACCAATAATTCTTAATTTGTTAAGTTAAAAAGTTTCAAAAACTAGATTCTAGAGATTTTCTGATCATCTTTAACAGTGACAAACGTTCTAACATTTTATCTCTCATACATGTTATCTTATTACCTACCCAAAACTATTTGCCTCATAATTCATCTCTTGAATCTTCTCATCCCATTGTCCTAACAGGTGCTATTTTCAAACAGGCATTGCCTGTTGGAAAAAAATACCTGTTGTTTGAATTTTTATGAACATTTGGATGTTGCTCTGACCCTCTAACTATCATCCAATCAGCTCCATCTACTATTTATCATCAAATCAGTCTCTATCTATTATATTTCATCCAATCAGTCTTCTTATTTTTATTAGTAAGCTCTTTATAAATCTTTAAATAACAAACTTATAACATATCATCTTGAATCACAACTTAATCATAATAGATTATGATTCTCTCATCAACTGTTGACTTAACAGTTATAACAGAAAGCTTCTATTCTGCATTAGATGGAAAGGATGTGGCAAAGCCATATAAGCATTTGATGAAGTCTGACACGCTGGTCTCTATAAGCTCACTTAATATGGTCACATATCTATGTCATATGGTATATCTATAAAAGTCATATGGATTATCTATAAAAGTCTATAAAACTATTAAAATATTATTTTCTAATGACAGGATTATAGTTGTATTTGATGGAAAACATTTTTTATTTTTGTGGTAGCCCAGAAGTTACTTTTACAGTATCTTTTGGTGTACCAGAAAGTTCCATCCTTGTTTTTGTGTTGTACCTCATCTATAGTAATCTTTTTGATAGTCTTAAACATAAACTTTTCACTAATAACAATTTCAGTCTTGACAAAAAAAGATATTTTTAACTGCTTAGAACTGGCAAGTAACTTTGAATTTAAAGTCTTTCTGTGACAGCTTGGGGCTTGCAGTGGTTGGTCAATTTTAACCCAAACAAAACTCAGTTGTTCACTGCTAACAGCTATCAAAATATTGTTTATATTTCTATATGGATAATAACTCTATTACAAAGTATCCTCTAGGTCTTTTTTGATAATCCTTCACTACTGATCACTCATGAATATCGAATATACAATATATGGCCAAGTTAGGTAATGCTTAGATTGCCTCATGTTTGCCATTTTTGCTATTAAGCTTGAGCCTCTGTGCTACTTTCATTCCATTCTTTACTAATAGTTCTTCAAGTGAGCATCGCTTGTTTCATCAATCTTAACTCGATCTTGACATTCAGTTAAACCTATCTTTTTACTTTAATTTTACCTTGATTGTTCTTTGCTCAAAAATAAACATTTTTTCCTCAAACAAAAAGTGCTTTGGAATTCTCTATAGTCTTTATGTTTTCCTGACAAAATATCTTTCCAATCTTCTGTCAATGTCCCTTTTCTTGCTCCTCAATTTATTCTTTTTTTATCTCTTAACTCCCAGATTAATTAGTGGTTGTTTGCAGGCTTGTTAGGTTTGAATTTATTTGCAAAAAAAAAAAACTTTATGTTTAAGATATTTAAGATACTTAAACAATAAAATAAATAAATATCAAAATATATATATATCTAATATTAAAACCTTTTTAAAGCTATATATAGACTGCATTTAGATTTTCTAACGAGATTTCTCTGGAGCTGATATGAAGGAAATAAATGTTTTTGCTTTAAATTTGTTTCAAACAAAAAAATGCTTAAAAAAGTGGTAAAACAAAATTAAATGTAGAGTTTTTCTATACATTAAATCCTCATAGGTTTTCTGATCAGCTAGTCTTACCAACAATAAATAGAAAAAATATAAACATTTTAGAACTCAAAAATAAAAAAATATAAAAAATAAATTTGCCTAAAAAATATAATTTTCAACAATTTTGAGATAACTCAAAAATTTATCTACTTTGTATTGATTTAAGATAAACAGAAAACGATATAAAAATGCAAACATTTTAAACTTTATATGTTCACAACTAAAAGATTTTCATTAACCTTAAAAAAAGATTTTTTGTTGTTGCACTTTTTTTTTAATTGTTAAGGTTGAAAGCATAATTGGAAATCAGTGCCTCTTCATACTGGATACTGACCCGTGTTATGGGTGCAACCAAATCATTCATTTCTTAAAAAACTAAAGATTTGTATGGTTGGCCCTTTTCTAATCTAGTCTTGATACTAGACAAAAACAAAAACAAATAAAGAAACAAACTATTTAGAGCCCTGCATTAATATTTATTTTTTTATAATTGATGGAATTACTAATAATTCAAAGAATAGGTTGAAATATTCTAAACAATAAGTGTTGAATTATAATAAAGACTGGATACCTGCATTAAAAGCAAATAAAAATACTTTGGTAACATAAGTGGTAAGATTTTCATGAAGTTAGTTTTATTCATGCAATATTATTTAATTAAATGCAATACTTGAATAAATAATTTTGATTAAATGTAACAATTATATAATTTTAATCAGATTATAAACAAATAAACAATTGTTTTGTATTTTTATACTCACATTTGTGGTTTTAAATGTTAAGGCCTTACTATTGAACATACAATTATGTATCGATATATTTTTAATTCAGAGTAACCTACTATTTTTACATTTCTCAACTCAAACATAAGGCCGGGTGAATAAAAAAAAGCAATAGCTTTTACTCAGTAATTGGTCAGTTTTATGTGAATAAAAACTTCAGCAGTTTTGTACAAATTTTTAATCACGTAAAGTTAAGCAACTTACTCAGTAATTGCTCAGCTTTAGGTGAATAAAAACTTAAGCAAAACTGCTGAAACTTTATTCACGTTAAGCTGACCAATTATTGAGTAAAAGCATTTTTTTTTATTCACCCGGCCTAAAGTACTGGTTTTAAAAAAATGACCCAATTAAACACTGATGGATTTTGCCTTAAAATTATTTGAAAACTTAATTAATGAAGTTTAAAATATTTTGGCAATCCTTAGATAAAGTATTGAACACAAGAGCAAAATATACTAAATCAAAAGTGAACAACTCACCCTAATTGTGGGATATGAATCAATTTCAAAGTCTTTACATGTTTTATAATTTCTTTCAGCGGCACAATCAATTACACCAACATTAACAAAGCTGTTCCAATCTACAGAAATCATGTTAGTTACTAACAATAAACTTTTATTAGGTATTTGTAATAAATGTAATTGTATATAAGTACACACTGCATTAGTTATAATATCTGAAATAGGTAGCTGTGGGGGCTTTAGTATATACATCAACTGACTATCTATGAAGAGCATTCAAGAATATGTCACGTAATCAACTGAGGATTTTTGTTGGAGCAACAAAAAATATTTTTATTATTCTTTGTATTTTCTTTTTCTAAAAAAATGAAGTCAGATTTTAGGAACTAAAGTGCTTAAAATTATTAGGAAATTGTGTCCTTATATAAAGGGTATTAACCAGGAATATATTTTTTACTGCACTTTTGGTATATTGGAAATATTTATCGTTATTGTTCTACAATATTTTAGAAACTTTTATTGATATTATCTTATTACTTCAAAAAAAAAACAACCTAACCTCCTGTATATACATACATACATATATATATATATATATATATATATATATATATATATATATATATATATATATATATATATATATATATATATATATATATATATATATATATATATGTATGTATGTATATATATATATATATATATATATATATATATATATATATATATATATATATGTGTATATATATGTATATATATATATATATATATATATATATATATATATATATATATATATATATATATATATATATATATATATATATATATATATATATAGTATATATATATATATATATATATATATATATATATATATATATATATATATATATATATATATATATATATATATATATATATATATATATATGTACATATATATATATATATATATATATAATAATATTTATATTTTATAAAAAGATAGCAATTCATTTTTTGCTTTAATTTTAAAAAATAATAATAATATTTGATTCTTTGTTTTTTTAAAGAGGAAAGCAAAAATATAAATTGCTATCTGTTTATAAAATATATTTTAAATATAGGAAAAAATTAAATATAGAAAAAAAATTTTAATATAGGAAAACTATTATTTTTTACGCGAATCTAAAACTGTTTTTTTTTTGCTTTGCCTTATCTAATTATTTTGCTGAAAATAACAACCACTCTAAAGATACAAAAATAAAAACAGTACACAAAATAACAACCACTCTAAAGATACAAAAATAAAAACACAAAATATTTAAATTATTAGTTGTTTTTTTTAATTTTTCTTTTTAAATTTATTTTAATTTCCAATTTTGTTAGTTTTGCTTTTTTTGTTTTTGAAACTTAACTTGTTTTGGACATACAACAAAAAACCGCACGCATTTCCAGGGAAGGCTTGAAGCTTTTTTAAGTTGATTAAGGTGCGCCAAGAAGTCCTTACGATCTTATCACAGAGCACCATGGAAGAGCATTTAATAGAAAATTCATGCCTTCTTCCCAACAGATGTCATAAAACTTGCCCAGAGGTGGGGTTTGAAACAGATGTCATAAAACTTGCCCAGAGGTGGGAATCTTACGTTTCTGAGGCAAGTGCGCTACCACTGCGCCACCGCTGTTTACTTTTGTTATACTTTATATTTTTGTTCATTCATGCTTTGACTGTAAGAGCTGTGTGAGCAGGCACCAAATCTTGTTAAAATTCTATTCATTTCACTCAATCAGCATGACCACTGATGGAACCATGTAGTTCTCTAGTGTCTCTCTATATGTATGTTAGTTGATTCGACCTGTATAAATGTTGCACACTCCTACTCCATTAAAATTAAAGTGGCTCCAAATATCAACACTCCTGCCACCACTTTGCAACCTCAGTACAACAAAGCGATTACTACACTTTTCTAATTTAAACCTTTTAATAAGAATTTTGCATTTTCTGTTTATTACTTCAAAGTTACTTTTATCACCAAAAATTACTTGCTTCCACTTTTTCAAAGACCACCCAATTCTTTTCTTACACCACCCTAATCTTGTGAGCCAATCTCTGGCCATCAACACAGGTTTTCTAACAGCTGCATAGGCATTAATTTTTTTCTTTAGTAAAATGTTTCTAATTATTTATGAGTATTTTCATCAAATGCTTTGGTGAGTTAACGATAACTTTATCTCAGGTTTGTTCTTACTTGACAAAATATAAGACTATTTTCTTGATCAGTAGTTTTTTTAACCTTCCTGATCTTGCAAAATGTTGGATGCCACCTGCTGTTTTAAATGTTTTTAGAGTATATTTGATGCAATTTTGAACTTTATTATTTATCACTATATTGCTTTACTTACTGCTTTTCAACCCATTTCTATGTATATTTACTTTTAGATCTTATCAAAATATTTAAAAGGGCTTTAAATGTGACTAAACTGGTCATCATAATTAATTAACAAAATAATTATTAATAACAGTTGGGTTCACAAGAAAGTAGAACTGAAATCAATTAAAAAGTTTGTGCACCTATTTTTTTTATACAATCTTTTCCGATATGTTTTCTGAATTCCTTTTTTAAAAAAAATTCTATATACTTGTTAGTGACATGTTAATTGTAAAGAAATAATTTTTCTGCTGTTCAAATAAAAATTAAGTCTTTAGTAAATATTGATAAGTTTTAGCAATGTTATTAAAAAAAAAAAAACTCAAATTTTTACTGCGCCTATTATTTTTAAAGTATGCAAGGCATTTTAACTTTTAACAGGTCCTTATACTACCAGAAAAAATTTCTGCTAAGGTATATCAATCTGAATATCAGAAGAAGCAAAACTATATATGAATTAAAAAATAACAACTGTTTTGATAAAAACATCTATAATAAAACTAAAATTGTATAAAATTCCTATACAACTTTTCCTTCAATAAACTCCTAAAAACTTTATTATAAGCTGATTTTAAAATTCATTTTCATTTTACTATATATAAAATACTTTCTAGAACACCAATTTTTTTTTTTTTTTTTTAATTTAATTTAATTTTTTAAAACTACTACCATATTCATCAAATTAAAACTGAATTTAAAAAAAAAACATTAGAAATCAACTACATTAAATTTTAAAAAATTGTTAATCAACTGGTTGCAAAACTTTTAAATAATGAACATTTTTTTATGCAAATAAAGTTTTTTTTCAAGAAAAAAACTCCCCTACTTAAAACTAGAGAAAATTATAATTATATTTTTTAATGCAAATTAAAAAGATTTTTTATATTTTTAAATTCATTTGGGAGGAGGCTACTAGTTTTTGTTGAATTTGAGGTTATAGAATAGTTTTCATTTTTAATTCCTAGAAAATAAAGACTTACGTAAAACAACAGTAAAATCAGTTATAAAGTTTTCAAAGTATTTAAATAAATTAAAAATTTGATTAAATTTTGCATTAATCAAAAAAAAAGAATCATTTATGCAAATTTATTGTAAAATATTGGAATTATTTTAATATTTTTTATTCATATTAGAGGTAACAGAAAATTTTTTACAAGACCAATGGTGTATAATAGTATTGTGAAAAAATTGCAGGATGCGTCAACTCAAAAATATCAAAATGGAAATATTGTACAATTGTGTTGTTACTTGATATAATATCCTAATTAAGTAGTATTGGAGTTTATATTATGCAATAGTCACTTTAATAATTGCAGTGCAAATTAAAAATTGAGGCCCTTCTTTTCTTTTTTTAAGGCAAATATATATTTTTTTTTGCAAAAAAACACCAATATTCCACAATATTTGTACTGAGTTTCTCTAGGACAGGGGGTACCGCCGCCCAAATTTTTTTCCTAGAATAGCCCCAGATATATATATATATATATATATATATATATATATATATATATATATATATATATATATATATATATATATATATATATATATATATATATATGTATATATATATGTATATATATATGTATATATATATATTTATATATGTGTGTGTGTGTGTGTGTGTGTGTGTGTGTATGTGTGTGTGTGTGTGTGTGTGTGTGTGTGTGTGTGTGTGTGTGTGTGTGTGTGTGTGTGTGTGTGTGTGTAAAAGTAGAATTTGTTTACAAACTGATCTTGTTTATATCTTTGTTTATTATAGTTCAACCACTTCTTCATTACATAAATTTAGAAGTGTTTTTTTTTTTAACTTTTGCATATAAAATCCTAACCATATTGGTTAACCCAATATGAGGTTATAATAAGTTAGCCCAATAGGTTAGCCTAATATGGTAATATAGCCCAATAGGTTAGCCCAATATGATTAGGATATTTTGTGTTTGTAAAAAGTTCTATATTGTTTAGTAGGGCATGAAGTCTACAGCAAAAACAGAAAAAAAAAATCATTTCTTTATTTAAAAAAAAACAAACATATATTGATATGCTTTTTAAATAACTTTGACCCTTGATGTTTATTCTATATATTAATGATCTATCAGACAAGTTAATCAATATATGGAAACTATTTCCTGATGATACCAAGATTCTATGCAAGGTAATCTCAATGGGAAAGTACCTCAAATCTACAGAAAGATTTAAACACAGCATCCAAATGGTCAGAAGACTGGCTTTTAAAATTAAATGTCCTAAAATGTGGAATAATGCACTATGGAGTAAACAATAAAAGAACCCTCTTTATATTAATGGTACAAAATTTAGAAATTTTGAATGTACAAAAGATTTAAGAGTAATTTTTTAGAAAAATCTCAAGTGGAACGACCAAGTAATTTCAGCAACAAGTAATGAAGTAAAATATTGGGTTATGTGAAGAAAGCTTTTGTCATATTGGATTGTCAAATATTAAAATCACTTTATGTGGCTTTTATCTGCCCTCTTCTAGAGTTTTCAGTATCAATTTGGTGCTGAAATCTTTATACTTAAAAAGGGATTGTAAATAATTGAAAGAGTGCGGCATCGAGCCACCATGGTTTGGTGAAGTTATAAAGAGCATTTAAAAGTTCTAGGATTGACAACTCTAACTGAATGGAAAGAATGGGGGGATATATCCCAACTTTATAAAATCATGAGCAAAATAAAACAAAAAAAAACAACATAAAGATTGTTAAAAATCAAGTTAGAGGTCACTGTTTCAAATATTACAGAGAAACAAGGAAAAATCTATTAACACATAATTTTTTTTACAACAGATCTGCAAACTATGGAAATCAATAATTCCAGAATGTGAGGAGTTGTCCTCAATTGGTATCTTATTTTTACTATTTATGAATAAATTTTGTGATGTTTAAAAAATATTGCTTTGCATTGTGTCTAATAAATTTAATTAAAGTAATTTTTTTTGTATTATATCTTAAAATAAAAGCTCAGAATAGACCAATATAAAAATTTACTCAATAGGTATTTAGCATAGAATAGAATTTCAAATGTTTATTAAAACTAATATAAAATTCAATAACTTTAATTAATAAAACTTATTAAAATTATTAAATTTACTTGAAATAATTTTATTCTTATTTAAATCTAAAATCATTTTACAGAATTATTTCTTATTTCCAAAAAAAATTTCGTTTGCGTAAGATAATAATTTTTTAGATTGTTTTACTTTATATTAAGACTTAACATTATATTAAGACTAAACATGAACTGCTTTAGTTGTTCGGATTGAAATCAAGAGTCTTTGCGCTTCTTGAATATATATATATTTTTTAATTACTAGTAAAAATAAAAAAGTACTTTTTAACTGCAATGCTAGACGAATCCAAGTAGGTGCAAAAGCTTGACAATGCCCGCACCAGCTTGAGTAGAACTCAACAATCCAAACTTTATCATTTCCTGTTAAATATTTTTTGATTGTATCGTTTGTGAATTGCACCATTGGATCTGTGTCTTTATATAAACCTGTATCAGTTGTTAATACCGGGGGCAGACCAATATAACAGAAATATGTGAATACAAAATAAAAAAGTAATCGACAAGATAAAATCTCTTCCGCTATATGCGCCATCTTTATTTTTAAAAATCAAAACAAATAATTATCTGCGAGCTTTAAGTGAAACGCATCTAATTAATTTACGCTAAGTTCAAGAGATCAGTTATTTCAAGACTAACTTGCAGGTAATTAATGCGGCAAACTAATCTTTAATATTTCGAACCCGTGGCGATTTAAACTGCCTTGCTGCCGTCTAAATATTGAAATACATCAAATTATCGTCGTTATTTAAGTGATATTTCGATATCATAAAAAGTGTTGTATTTATGATTGCACTGAAAATTTTTAATAAAAAAAAAGTATTTTAAAAAGCTTTTTCTATTTCGAGTGAAGAATAACGGGTAAATTAATTTTTACTATACAAATTTCTATCCATCTTTTTTATTACAGTTTAAACATTTTCATGATGGAATATTGCTCTAAACTCTAAACAATATTGAAAAAAAAAAAATTGTTACTTAACAGATATTCATTTAATCAGCTGAAAAGGTTTTTCTCGCTATTTTTATGTTTAATTACTTATTAGAAAGTAAAGTGTTGTAACATTAAATGAATTCTGGGACATGGTTGAAAACATTATGAGTCACGGTGACTGGTAAGTAATAATTTGATTGCTTGAACAATGCATTTTTTACAGGATTCTCGAAACTTTTGTTCAAAACATGAATTAACATTGCTTTCATGAGCTAGAAAGTTTTAAAAAAACCAAAAGATTGAAAAGGACACTACTTTTTTTTAAATCTTTGAAATGTCTACATTCTTTAAAACGTTTTTAAAATGTTAAACTCAAATCTAGTTAAAAATCTTTATCAAAAAGGTTTTTATTAAGTTGTTGCTTCTCAGAAAAGTTCACATAAAAGGTTGAAAGGTTGGATACTTCAAGATTACCTAACTATGAATATGAATTTAAATATTGTGGAGATCAAATTGAATATTATAGAGATCAAATTGAATATTGTGGTAAACTAAACATGGTTAGTTAGTCACTCTAAACTCTGACAGTATTCAATGTTTTTTTGAGGGTGTTTCTTGTTTTTTAGGAATGGCGACTTTTTGGTTGAAAATTTGAAATAGCTTTTACCTTGAACTGTTTCATCCAATTTTTTAAATTTAAGATGTTTTTTAATTTAGGACAGTAGTTAAATAGTAAAAAAAGAAGGGGTGAGAGGGGGGGGGGGTGTGTGGTAACGGAGTAATTTTATTTTAAAACTTTATAATACTTGTAAAATTAGAGCAGTTTATAATATGCATATGCAATAAATTCATAAATTTTTATAGCAAATTATAAATGAATATTCTTATACCAAGTGAATAGTTTTACTTTTATTTGTTTTTTGTTTAATTGTAAAACTAACTCATTCTCATTTTTCTTTCTTTCTTTATATTGATTAAATCAAAAAAGTATACATTCTGATAAATAATAATTTTATTAAACCTTGGATTTCATTTTAGTAAACCTTGGATTTCATCTTCACACAACTATTTCCAATAGATGCTTGAGGTTAAGATTTAGTTGACTAATTTTGCAAATTAGACAGTTGCAGGGTTGCACTCTTGTGAATATTTTACTTAAATTTCTTGAAAACTAAGCAAGGTAAGAAGAAATATGTCCTTGTTCTCATCTTTTCTTCCTATTCCTAAACTATAAGCTTTACAAAATTTTCTAAGAATTCTTGCATTTGAAAAATCAATTTCTTGACCTAACACTTTCGTCATTTTCTCAATGACAAAATGGTGTAATTTCATATTTAGCTATTTGCATGTACAGGATACATAAAACCTTTTCTTTTTACAAGATTTTTAAGGCATTTTAGTAACAAGTGTTCGCAGTATAAAAAAAGAAGAAAAATTTGTTTATTTCTATAACAACAAACGACCATTTTCCGAAAAAAATTTTATATTAAAAAAAAAAACAGATAAAAATAAAATTAAAAAAATTTGAAAAAAAAAAACTTGACTTAGTATATTAAATCCATTTTTTTTTTCAAATATTTTTTCAAATTTTAATCATGTCATATTAAAACATATTTATTGAAAAAATTCTCTTGTAGATATAGAGGATTTTTTTAAAATGAATATGTTTTAATTTGACACGATTAAAATAATTGCATTGATTGTATGGGTTGTAACAATGCAAAATAAAAACACATGCTGTCATCTTTACAATTGATGTCATACCATCAAAATCAAATGTTAATTTCCTTAGATATAACGATTGCTTTTCAAATTTTGCATTTTCATAATTCTGATATTAAAGGCTTTCATAATCCTGATATTAAAATCTTGCGACTATTAAGTAAATTACTCTTACCTAACGATCTAACGAAGCAGGGGGTATCAGTGGGGTCTTAACAAAAATGTCGGAAATACATACATCAAAAGCAGGGAGCTTTAATAAAGCACTTTGATAAAAAAGCTAAAAAAAAGTTCTTAAGTAGTTTTAGCGCAGTAATTGGAGTTCGTGGCTCAGAACCATTTATTCCTAGGTTCGATGCCGGCCCCGGCCAAATTTTTTTATTTCTATTTTTATTATTTATAGTTTTTATCATTTTTTTTTTATATATGTAATTATTTTTTATTTATTACATTTACTATTTTTGTTACATACATAGGTACTAAATATTTCACATTTTAAATATAAAAGCAAGGGCGGATCCATAGAGGGGGTAATGGGGGCATAAGATAATAATCAACCAAGTAGTAGAGATTTTCTAAAACTTTGATATTTATACCTAGTATTGAGGTATTCAAAAAACGATTACTTTTAAGCCATTTTGATTTGCCGCTAGAATAATTATTCAACAAAGAGTTTACTACGCGATCTTAAACAATTTTCGGCTTTATTCTTCCTCCATTCTGTTAAACTGAGCAATTGCTTGAAAACGGGAGTAAATTAGGAAGGCTGCTTAAATGTGATAAAAAATTTTAATAAGATACTGTTGCACAAAAAAAAAAAAAAAAAATCAGATTAATGGAGTATCGATATATAACGTAATTTCATAGTTACATAGATTAAGATAATGAAAGACTTTATAAAAAAAAACTAACTAAAAAGTTTGAAAATTGCTCCCCTCCCTTTCTTTATTAGATAGTTTGGATCAACCAAATTAACCCCCTCCCCCTCATTCTTTCTTAAAGGGTCAGACCCTTTCAAAAAGATGGGTCAGACCCACAAAGATGGGTCAGACCTTTCAAAAAGAGTCAGACCCTTTCGAGCAGCCGTGGCGCAGTGGTAGAGCACTTGCCTCAGAAACGTAAGATCCGTGGTTCAAACCCCACATCTTTTGTTATAACAAAAATAATTAAACGAAGTTTAAACTAAGTGTGTTGCAGGCTTCAAACACTGTAAAGTGTTTGAAACATTTGTAAAGAGTTTTTTATTTTGTATTGCTTGTAATTGATTGATTATAAGTAAATTGCAAGTTCGATTTTTCTATAGCCTGTTAAAAAGATTTACTTTGTTACTAAACAGAATAGTTGAAATATCCTCTATTTTAAAAAGCGAATGTAGGTAATTTTTACTGTACTTCGAGATACGGAAAAACGATTTTAAGACTGCTCTCTCAAAAGCTTCTAATTTTGCTAAGAAAACTAATATCATATTTGTATAATTCAAGACCATAAATAAGCTTTGGCGCAGTTGAGGTATTGTACAAATGGATTATTGTTGATGGCTGGCAGTAACGAATCCCACTATTGGTTGGTAGTAACGAATCACACTGTTGATTAGAATTATTGCAACCAATTGATTCTAAGATATACGTTCATTTATATTTGTTTTTTGGAGTGTTGCAATTTAATTTTTGCTTGTATCGTTATCCCATTAGAAACCCAGATGTTTTAATTTATTTGAAAAGGTATATAGAAACTCCGTTAATTTGAATAACGTTGTTGGAAATATTGCTTTTTCCATAGATCAGAAATTCCATTTTCTCAGTGTTTAACTTGATAAAGAGTACTACTTTGTATGTTTGAAGTCTGTTAATTAATTCCCGCGGGAGATTGTAGGACTTAGCAAAATTACATCATCTGCGTATGCAATTACACCAGACTAAATGCCATTTATTGTTGATCCTACTTTAGATTCTGAGACTATTTCATATAGGATGCTTTCAGTATAGATGTTGTATAAATGCGGCGATAAAATAGACCCATGTCGCACCCCTTGTGACAGACTGAATTGATTTGAAGTAACTCCTTCATAGGATATGTTTACAGTACCAAAAAGATAAAGCGATGAGATTGTGTGTAAGTTTTTGATGCTTTGCAACTGGGATTTGCTATTTGCTTCTCAAATAGCAAATCCCAGTTGCAAGCATCAAAAACTTTATTTGCATCTAAACTGCACATATATAAAAGCGTGTTATTGTTTTTATTGTGCTTAACAGTTTTGCTCAATAAAAATTCTGCATGAAGTGTAGAGCTGTTTTTTTTTTAACCGAATTGATGGGAATGGCTATTTGTTATACCAGAAAATATAAGTAGTATTAGATATTCTAGAAGTTTAGCAAAGATAGGTGAAATACTAACTCCTCGGTAATTATCTGGAATTTTAAGTGATTTTTTTATATGAATTAACGAATGGAGTAATTGTTGAAGTTGATAGATTGTTTATTACCTTTTCATTTGTTAGAACACTCTTATAGAATTTAGCGAACCACAAAAAAAGATTGTTATTATGAGAGTTGTTAATGTATTCAGCACTTACCCCACAACTATGTTGTGGGGTAAGTGCTGAATACATTAACAATGGGACTTGTCCCATTGTTAATGTATTCAGTGTTAATGTAAGTGCTGTCCCATTGTTAATGTAAGTGCTTGTAAATTGTCCCATTGTTAATGTAAGTGCTGAATACATTAACAATGGGACTTGTTACAATTTAATTGTGAGATGCAATTTGTAATATTAGCTGATGTAATAACTAGTGAATTAGGCTCATTACTTAGATGTGGAGTTTGAGGAGTGTTATGGTTATTATTTGTTATAAGAGGCGTATTTAGTAGAGTTTGAAAATATTTTCTAAATTCTTTAACGATATCTTTTATGTTTTGTGATTTATTAATTGTAAATAATCAAGTTGTTGCTTTAGTTTAGAACTTGCAAAAGTTATCCCAGAACTTCTTAGGATTTGTAGTTTGAAGATTTTCCATATTAATAGTTTTTTTATGAATCTTTTTGTTATGAGCTGCTTTAACCGCTTTACGGAAGTTTTTACGTGCAATGAGATATCTTTTGTATTCAATGCATTCTTGTGTTTTATTATAATTAGATTTTTGCGATTGTTTATAGTTAAATGAAAGATTTTCTTTGCATTTTGTAAGGTCCGTTGTCCACCACGATTTGGAATATTTACAGATTTCGTGTTGTTTAAAGCACTGCCTAACTGCTAATAGAGCAGCATTTTTGATTTTTTCGCATGTTTGTTTTAATTCTTGTTCAATTTTTTCTTTATTGAAGGTGTAGTTATTGAAAGCTATGGAGAGGTTATAATTATACAAGTTAATATAGTTTTTGCTATTTCATGCATATTTTGGAATATGATTATATTTATGCATCATGCTATTTATTACGGTTCATAGATTAGTATGTGTAACGACGATAATTGGAGCGACTGGTAAATGATCACTAAATTTAACAGGTGAAGGGGGAATAACTTTGGTATTTATAAATGATAAGGATGACTCTTTTAGAGCTGCGATATGATCGATAAAGGATGAGTTAGAGAGAGATTTTTATGTTGATAGGTGTATGTTGGACCAGCGCCTCTGATATATCAAAGAGAGCTTATTTGATTTAAGAAATTAGTTAGATGATTAGAGAATTTGTTGCATGTTTTATTATTACAATTATCAGGATCGTAAAGTGTTTTGGGATATGATTAAAAATCTCCATCAATAATACATTCACTTACATCTTCGTAGTTTTTTATGACTGACGTAATTAGGTTTAATTGTTGTATGTGCTTTGAAACGGATTCCTCGTTATTTTAACTTGATGTAAAATAGATACCGATGAAGACTAGATTTTGACAATTTTGTTGACCTTTAATAACGAGAATATTATCATCTTCGTAAATTATGCGAGGAGACAATAGAACATCTTTTTTAACAATAAATGCGTTTTCTCCAAATGGTCAACGAATTTGATGTTTTTAAAGGTAAAATTTTAATAGAGTTTTAATAAATTTTATTTTAATTTTTTTATTTTTTAATTAACTTAGCAACTGTTTTGCATCTTTGCAGATATAACTTCGCACTTACGCCAGATTTTAAATATTCTTTAGTCACTCATACATCAGTTTGCACTAACGTGTACACATGGAAGTATAAAACAGATGGAAGTTCATCAAGCCGCAAACATCAAAGCAATTTTAAGTCGTCTTGGAAGTAAGGTTGTAACCGACAACAAAAAAATAACAAGTTTTACTGGACAAAAAACAAAAAAAAAACAGGCCCGGCCTGGCCCAAAAGACTAAAACCCGGCAACCCAATCTTAAAGCCAATTTTTCTTTGTTTTTGCAAAAGACATACATTTGTTTTTGTTTTTATTAGTTAAAAATTATATATATATTAAAAAAAAAAGATAATAAAGTAATATTTAAAAAATATAATTTTTGGTTTTTACAAAAAAAAATAAAGTTATACGGTTTTTATCGAAAACGATGAGATAATTACTAAAACCAATAAGTAGATATGACCTGTGATGACCATATGAAATGTGGATTTTATACAAAACTTAAAAAATCATTTTAATTGTATCATTCAGAAAGTACTGAAACTAATGAAGGAAGGAAATTTGCTTTAAGTACGACAAAGACCAAATGGAACCTACCGTTCGCGCTAAGCCATATTTCATAATTGGAGATTGAGATGTCAATGCGGCTCCTGATGCCGTGATTGAAAACAATGCAAAAAAAGTGGTTGTCTCAATGAACCATGAAGAATTTAACGCAATTCCTTCAATAACTCTTTTCGCAGTTCCTCGCAATAACCCTTAACCCTAACGCAATTCCTCACAATAACCATTCATGTTAAAAACAACCACTGGATACTCTTAATTGCTAACACTCTTAATAAAATAGTTGGGTTTTTGGATTCTCTTAATTAGGGGTAATAATTTGAAACATGATATGTTTTTGAAATATATGATATTACGGTCATCTGTTACTAATATACTTGGAGTTAGGAGCAAAGTTGCATTTAATGCACCTCAACAACTCAATGGAAACAGTTGTGGAGTTTTTAAACTAATATTTACAGGAGCTTTTACTAACAATGTGAACATATTGTATACCCGAAAGTTGTGGCATTATACCGTCTATACATTCGTGGTAGACTTGTACAACGAATGTGCGCTAACGTTGATAACGAAAATAAATGGTCACAATGCAATCAGTGAAATCGTTGGTGCCATAATGCCTGTGCGCCGTGTCAATCTTCTCATACGACATCTTCATGAAGCCAATGCATTTGAACAAGTAAATGATATGTTTCCGGTTTATATTGTTTAAAACTTTGTTTATTTTTGTAAAAAAAAAAAAAATTCAAACAATAAATACTTTTATCACTTATGAATTTGATATAACAATAATATAAGTTTGTTTATTTACATGTAAAAAAATTTTTTTTATCCTGGCCGGGTTTTAGATTTTTGAGCCGGGCCGGCTTTTAGGTACAACCCAAAAATTCACTGAAATGGTTTCTATTACAACATAATAGAAATCATATAATAATAATTATTCTAAGGCTATGCTTCGTAGTTTTAACCTTTAGTAACTGTAATTATTCAACAAAATGTTTACTAAAACTCGGAAATTAAATAGTATCACTCTACTTTAAAAACATATGTTAGTTAAAGTTTCTTTACCCGCTTCGAATTATAACAGGACATTCGACTAAAATAATAATAATTAAAAAAAAAAAAAATTGTTTTCTAAATTACTAAAGTTTAAAGTTTGATTAGTTGTATATCATAATTCCATTCATGCTTGTATTGCTCCATAATTTAATATGAAGTTTAAGAAAATATTGTTATTTGCAATTTTGTTGTCGCCATTTTTAATGCTTATACTTAAATATTATTGGCGAACCCTCAAAAACTATATCTTTTAATTAATATAAACGTATTTGCGTAATTATTATAAACCTATTTGCGTAAACGTATAAAGATTAAATCTTTAAATACAGTCTTGATGTCGTTTACTTTTTGTTTACGAAACAAAATTTTACAAGTATAGTCCCAAAGCATTTCAATGCGGTTGAACTTCCATCTGACGGATCCAGGAGGAGGGTGATAGCAGTGGCGGATTAAGACTTCCTGGGGCCCGAGGCTATTTTTATTTTTGGAGGCCTTTTTATAGGCTAGAGCCTAAAAATGACTGAAAAAAAAAAAAAAGGTCCTCTAAAATTTTTGGGGGCTCCTAAATTTGCGGGGCCCGGGCTATAGTCCCCGTAGCCCCCCCCCCTTGATCCGGCACTGGGTGATAGTGGAATGCATCCCCTCCCACCTCCCAACCAAAACCTGAAAGTCCTAAAAATTTTCAAAAATATTCCAAGTTTTTTAACGAATCTAATCAAATTAGCTTAAAAAATATAGGTAAAACTGAAATCTTTAAAAATTTGAGGTTATACGAGATGTTGTTAAAAACATTTGTTGACGTCGTTTCACTCGACGAGGAAAAATTTTTGAATTGCCATACTTTCCAAAGTTTGTGTAAATTATATTAAACATTAGAAAAGAGGTACATGTCAAAAAGTTGTTTATTATGAAATTATCTTGATTTTTGTAACTTTCTTTCTACTATTTTATGTGAATAATTTGATTATGAAACATTTCTTATTAAAAATTGAGGTAGCGAAAAGAAATTTAAATATTGAATTTTTTATAAAAATGTTATGAAAAGTTTATATAAAAAAAGTTTATAAAAAACTTTATCCGGTTGTCATTTTTAATGTTTCTTCGTACGTCACCATTTTTTATTTAATAAATTTTATAAAAATAAACGATTTTGTAGAAATTTAAAAATTAAACCTTTTTTGTACAAAATTTGTAAAAAACCATTAAAAGGAATATGCAGATTTGCATCTAAACCAGTTCTTGTGTTATCCTTTATAACTTAAAAAGCTCTAATTAAGAAATTAAATATTGAAACCTTGATTTGTTTATATCGCGTTACGCATTTGATTTTATTGTATCATATTACATCATTTGTTCATTGTATCCGGTTACATGTTACGCGTATTACATATATTTTATCAAATTTTTTTAATTTGTGTGTAACGTAAACTCAAGTAAAAAAATTAATTTTATTTTTAAAATGTTTTCCATTTCAGTTTATGTGTTTTACGTTTTTTTATTGGTCTTTATTCTTCTTGTTTTAATTCAAATATTTAAAATTATGAAATTTACCCCGATTGATTTGTGTGGATGCTGCCGAGTAGAATCTCAATCTGAAAACATTGGTTGTTGCATACAGCGCAATCGAAACCCTCCGTGTTCTAACTGTCAGTATTTAGGGTTTAATCCACATTTAGAAGTGCGCAGTCGATGGTTTGTTTTTCAAAAAAGATTACGTTTTCGGAATTCTGAATGTACGATTTGTTTAGAGGATTTTTATCTTAATGAAAACGTTGTTTTACTCTCGTGTGGACACAGTTATCATAAGGGATGTATAGAGAACTGGTTACTAGTGAAAAACAATTGTCCTCTATGTAAATTTATTGTTGGAAAAGTTTCAAACGCCAATGAAAGAACAAGTTTACTTCATAATGTCTGATTATTTATAGTGGTTTCTTATTCGGATAACCTAACCTAAAAGTTATATAAAATATGTAAAAGTTTTACTTTTTATGTTTTTTTTTTTAAATAAATTTTTATTGAAGGTATAATAATTGTACATATAAATATATACTTATTACAATATTTTTTATAAAACAAAGTTTTTAAAATATTAATTTTTTATTTGTTAAAATCATTTTATCAATACAAAATAAGAATAAATGTAATCTTCAGTTAAACTTAAATATTTAAAATCTGTTTATATAACTTCTTAACTTCTTTAGGTGATTAGAAACAGCATAAAACGCAATTATACATGACCAATGGAATTACAAAATTTTTGTAATCCTGTAACTAATGCTTTTAGAATAAATTTATTTGAATCAATTGAACTGCACTCAACAATCATATCAACAAAAAAAAAAAAGAAAAAAAAGATGGAACTTAAAGTTTATAATTTGTTTTTTTTAAGTACTTTATTATACGGTTTTACGTTTGTAGGGTAGATTAGGGTACTATGAGCTTCTTGGTAATATAAGCATGCTTAAAAATTGCTTAGGTGTAAGCAGTGATGTTTTTCATTAAAATTACGTAATTTAAGGTTATAAAATCGCAGTGGTTTTAATTTTCGAATAAAAACAAAACATAGTAAAATATTTTAATATTTCAACAATACTAAATATTTTTCTTTAATTTAAATTTTAAAAATTTGAATTTTTTCAAAGGTTTGAGTTAATAAAATTGAAAAAATAACAAACTAATTTTTTTTTTTACGGAAAACAAAATAGTGTTGTTTCAATAAAAAGTGATATAAATTTTATCCTTTAATGATAAGTTTTGTTAATAACGACCCAGATAGCGCACTAACGTTGGATCAACGGCAAAATATTCGTTGGCCTATGGTCGGCAACTGACGTCGCCACAACGTGGATTTGGAAGTCGGCGCGACGTCGCAGCCAACCGTTGGCCCAACGTCGACATCCGACGTTCCCTTAAAGAACGAGTGTCGAATTCTAACGTTGGTCCAACGTAATATTATTATATATAAGAATCTTTACAATTTTGATTCATTTGGTAAGCACGTGCTTACTATTTCTTATGTAATGTTCATTAAAACTATTACATTGATTTTTTTGAAGTTTGAATAATGTTTTTTCGTATTTAACGAAATTGATTTTTATGCTGATAAATGAAGCAACTTGAATTTCATAATAACACAGAAAACCAAATTTGTTGTAATAATCAATATAATAAAGTTAAAATATTCGTAAAAACTATACATATTAAAAAGTAATGTTTTTTTCGACTGCTTGGCTTCCTTACGAATTTTGAGTCTTTAATATATATATATATATATATATATATATATATATATATATATATATATATATATATATATATATATATATATATATATATATATATATATATATATATATATATTTATATATATATATATATATATATATATATATATATATATATATATATATATATATTATATATATACATATATATGTATATATATATACTATATATATATATATATATATATATATATATATATATATATATATATATATATTTATATATATATATATATATATATATATATGTATATATGTATATATATATATATATATATATATATATATATATATATATATATATATAAATAAATGTATATATATAAATAAATGTATATATATATATATATATATATATATATATATATATATATATATATATATATATATATATATATATATATATATATATATATATGTGTACATAATACTATATACAATAAATGTAAAAAATAATGAAATTAAAATGATGCATAAACATGGAGACAAACATAAATTTCTTTTATATCTCTATCAACTTGCTTTCTAACTCTGCTTCTATTTGTTATATATGAAGCAGCCATCTAAATTATTAGTGAAATAAAACTTAGTATCAGTTGCAAAATAATCCATCAAAATTGTTTTAATAGGTTTGCAGCGGATCTATATAGGCATTTTTCAGTGGTTAATTGGATTTTGCTTATGGGTTACTTAGTGGACCATTAGTGGCATCCGCATTAAATGGCAAGCTGATAACTTTCCTACATGTTAATAGTTGCTAGTCTTTAGCCATACATTATTGTTGGCTTCTACTAACGGTCCACTAAGTAACTGTTGAGCAAAACTACAGTGGTCCGCGCAGACTAAATAGGACTACTTAAATTCTGCTATAGAATGTTTGTTGGAAATCTATTTCTATTTTTAGTAGTCTTATATTATTTTTTGATATTAATACTATTTCTATATACTTAATTCTATTACGAAAGTAATAATATTAAAATTAAAAAAAAAACTTCTATCATCCGATCATTAGACAGTCAATTATTAAAGTTCTTTAAGGATAATTTAAATTCTAATCAACAGATGCTTAAATCAGTTCAGATATTGCAACGAAAATAATATAAAGAAATAATGATAAAGTATAATGATTTTATAAAAAAATATCTTTTGAAATAAAATAAAAGTATTAGAGCATAAAATGTAGTCTTGATGCAAGATATGGTAGCTTTATAAAAGCCTTATTGCACAATTTTGTAGGTTCTCCTGCAACCAATGCTGATCCATAAGGGTACATGGCAACAGCGCAAGTTTAACCCAGACCCTAATTTAATTGTGGTAACCTTAAGTTCTTGATAAATTATACTCTCTAAAATAATGTAGATAAACTTATTTAAAAGTTACTTAAACACCTAAAATATACATTTTTGTTGTATTTTGTACATAAAAAATTATTTTGCTTATGGTTCCATTTTATGTAAGAACCCTGTGACTGTTAAATTTGAATTAAAAATCTTAGAAAAATAATTTATTACATAAAATTTTTATCAAAAATCTAAAAATAGTGGTAGTTAGAGTATAACTACTAGTTTCAAATAAGCACAAAAATAGAAATAGAGTATTCCATACCTGTGCTTTCTAAACAACAATTAGTGTGATTTCTTTTCACAACCATCTCTCATACACTCATATAATATATATGAGTATATTTATTTGGAATTTTATATAAATAACTTTTATGACTTAAATTTTTATTTTATTCTAGTTTTACTTATATTAGTAATGATAAAAATATGTGTAAAAAAAAAACAATTTTTTGTATCCACCTCTAACTCTAAAATACACCTCTCCTATAGGGTAATGGTCTGCTATAAAGTTATAATCACTTTTTGTATATTTAAACTTTTTTTTCTCTTCAAAAACACGTTTTTATTTTAAAAAAGTATTAAGTTTCATACGGGTAAGGTGGTATTTGGGTGGCCCCTCTGTCCACCCTATACGCCCGGTGATTAGAGTAGTAGTAGTAGTAGTAGTAGTAGTAGTAGTAGTAGTAGTAGTAGTAGTAGTAGTAGTAGTAGTAGTAGTAGTAGTAGTAGTAGTAGTAGTCGTAATCACCCTAATGTTGCAAATTTACAGCCCTAATGTTACGCTTTTTAGCCCTAATGTTACGCGTAATGTAACATTAGGGCTTTTTTGCCCTAATGTTGCAAATATACAGCCCTAATGTTACAAAAATGCCCTATTGTTGCATATTTTCGAGCCCTAATGTTGCAAATGGAATTGCCGTAAAATTATTTTCACGTAACATATTTCGCCGCCATTAAATTGAAAGTTTTACACTTTCGTTGCAGCGTTTAATTACTAAAATGTTACTTTGACAAGTTAAACTTAAATACTAAAAAAATATATTTATGTTAGTAAGGATATGCTATTAGTTATGAAAATAATTGATGAAGCAATATTTTCATGACGAATAGCAGAAACGTAAATAATACACTGAAGTTGTTGTATTTACTGGAGTATTGTTTTTACTGGAAACACAAACCATGTTGAAGTTAATCAGGAAATTTTAAAACTTTCTTTTTATTAAATAATTATAAATTAGTTGTTTAGAATCTAGTTTAGAATCTATATATATACTATTGTTAAATTTGCATATTAAATTTAAAAAGTAGTGTAATTACATAGTTTATTTAGTAATTAAGAAGCGGAAAATACAGTATTATATATTATTCATAATACTATTTTTATGTATTATACATATTACACTATTTTCCCTCTATGTAATACTATTAAAATTTTGTAATATCACTATTTTTCAATCAAGATAAAACTGAGTATAAATATTCCACTTAACAAATTTATGCAATTTTATAGCTAACAAAATTAAAAAAATTTATTTTAACGCTATTAATTAACAAACTCTGAATATTAAAAAATATAAATGCATTTTAAAATTTCTTTGTATACTTTACTATGCATAATACAGTATATAATTGAGTTAAATGAGTATAGTTTTTATTAGCATTTTTATTTTACTTACACTTATTCAACACTAAATTTAAAACAAAAACAATGTTCATTTAAATTTCTACAAAAGATATTTAAAAAAAAATAAAAAGATTTTTAATATAAGGAAATGTCAATACATTTTTGCAAAATATTTTAGTGTCAAGCTATAGTTAAAGGTCCAAGGATAGTTATAGGTTCAAGCTTACATATATTCTCTTTTAGATTATAGGTAGTAAAATTTACATGCATTAAATTTCTTTATTATTTGTTGTTATCAGATTTGCTGAATGACATGTCAAGTGAGAATGATTTTTAATTGATGGAACTAAAGATAATAGCTCCTTTGAGCAGCAACCATATTAATATTTGTAGAAATAAGAAAGAAATGCAACCTTACAGCGGTGGGAAAGAGGTTCAACCCTAACAGATAACAGCGAGTCCAACTGCATTTGCCATGTGTTTTTGGACATTGTCTAGAAGAGAAAGTATCATTAGAAGAACCAGCCCAAATATTTTTCTTTTATTGCTTATTAGGTGCCCCAAGAAGACCTAACAGTCTTGTCACAGAGTACAGCGGAAGTGCATTTAACCAGGAAGTTCACGCCTCCTTCCTTACCGTGAAATGAAAGAATGTCCGAGGCTCGTTTCGAACTTGGATCTCTTGCTTATAAAGCAGTATTAGCCTTCATGGATAACTTATAAAGCGGTTAGAAAAAAACGATGTGTACGTCTATGTGTATGTGTGTGTATATATATATGTGTGTATATATATATATATATATATATATATATATATATATATATATATATATATATATATATATATATATATATATACACATATTTTCATACGGCTACAGTCATGTTATAAAATAGAGTATATGTATTTAAATTTTTTTCAGTGATTGCCTTTATATAAAAAGGTTCATAATTTATTTCAACTGTTTACACTATTTTCATGCCGGTGGCGTTTATCATATTTTTATATTTTTTATTTTATATTTTTAAATTTTTAATTACGCTTTTTTCTATGGAGTTTATCATATTTTTCAAAAATTATTTTATTTTACCAAGCTGCTGCTAGTGTTAAATTAATTTTAATTTTAACACAGTTGGTTACCCTAAGTGCACCCACACACAAAAATTTTGCTTAAGAAAATTGAAACATAGATGAAACATGCAGCTTGTTATTATAACTATATTACTAACATATACTTTTGTCAAATCTTTATTATATACTCAATGGCCCTTAAGTAAAGTAGAGCACATCAACTTAGCATTTTGATATAAAGAAAAAAATTATTTTTACTTTTTTTTTGCATACAAAAACTGTGTGAATTTCACTACAATCAACTGTAATGCAACACTGAATCCAATTTTGTGTTAAGAGTATAACTTTTTAAACTCCAGTTTTTTTTAACTACTATTAAGTGTTTTTTTATGAATTTTTACATTATTTTTCCTGGACATTGTTTTGTGAACTATTTAGATTCATAAATTTTAATGACTTTCTGTTTAACGATATCTTCCAAAGGTTTGCCTTTTTTAGCCTCAAGTTTTAACAAGCATCCCTTTTTTCTTTTTTTTTTAATTTTTAACTTTTTTAACAAGATTTTCCTAAACTGAAAATGTTTTGCAAGTTTTTTCAATTAACTATCAGGAGTTAATGAGTGTAACTGAGCTTTAACTTTCTTGAAATTAAATTTTTTTTTTTGCATCTAACAGTTTGTTTAAATCATTATAGTTAATACACTTTCGCTCGTTTAAACTATGCTGATTGTACCTTATCATCTTTTTAAAAAAATGTAATGTTTAAACAGGCTACTGCAAGCGTTAAATTAAATTTTAATGCATAATTTTATTTTTCACTACAGGTGGTTACCCTAAGCACACAAAAGTAACTAAAAATTGGCCTTTTTTTGTCTGTAGGTATTAAATTGTAGCACATTAAAGTTTTCCAAAATTTTTCTAATATTGTGTTGTTAAGCAATTTTGAGATACAATAACACAAAAACTATTTAAAATTAGTCAAAAATACTTGAAAATATAGATTTTATAAGTATAAAAATGAATATAAAATTTCAGGTAATCACTTTTTATTGAAAAAGTTATGATCTGTCAAAAATCAAAAATATACTAAAATTTTCATGGTTTATCCAATCAAGGCGATATGTTTAGGATTTTATTTTTTCCATAAATCTGTGGGTGTGGAGAGAGTAAAACACTCTCCCATCTTCATGATTTTCTGATTCATACAACTTTTTAAGTTTACTAATCGTTTCCTTGTTCTTTAACTCTTTAACTCTGTTATAATTTTTTTTAGTAACTTCTAACTTAATATTGGTTGCTTGAAGCCTTGATAGTAGTAAATTAAAAAGATTTGTGTCCTGTCAATTTTTAGCATGCATTTTTTCCTTCATTGAGATTAGTTGCTTTTATATAGATGCTAATTAAATCAGCTATAATTAGGTGGAAATATATAGTTATATAATAATAAAAAATTTATTGATTTATTTTTCTTTAAAGTAGTTTTTGTTGATTTATTTTGTAATTTTGTTTTTATTGATTTTTAACAAAGAAATTTTAAAATTATTTTGCTTTTAGAAAATTCTATACTAAATAAATAATAAGTATAGAATTCCAGTCAGATCCAGTTCATGTTGCAGCTAGGTATTGTATCTTTTTTTATTTTGTAATTTCCTTGTTTTTATTATCTTTATATTGTTACTATACATAGATTACAACATTAGTTTCTAATTTATTAGATCTAATACAGGTGTAAATATATTAAAATTTTTTTTGAATAGTTGTAATGAACTACTTCTAATTTGAAGTTATATAGAAAGTAATAAGTTTAATTTTTATTATATTCAGTATTGAGTACAACTTGATAAATTTTTTTAAATTTTACTCAAAAGTCATTTATATGGAAAACATTAACATGCCTTGTAACCTGCATCAAAGGTTAAAAATGTGAATTCAGTAACTTTCAATTCTAATAGTGGTTGCTTGCAGCCTTTTTGGAAGTAAAGATATTTATAAATAAAATAAAAAAAAGGTAGAATACAGTTAAGTTTAAGAATTAACAAAAATAAGAAAATTTAAAATTTTTTTCTTAATTTCCTTAAAGATTATTCTTTGTTCCTTTGAGTTTCAGCACTTTATATTGAAGATTCATTTTCAGCAATTTATATTGAAGATCGTTTTCAGATATTATAATTTTAAAGGTTTTTAAGAAATTTTGTTTTTTCATAAAATGCCATTATCAAAGAAATATATTCTAATTTAAAAAAAAAAAAAGTTTACAAAGCTTCAATATATGAGTGATTTGGCTTATGCTGAAGTAGGAAAAAAGCTTATGCTCATTTAATGAAAAGGTGTTTTATATTTTAACTTGAACACCAGTTTGAAAAAGTAAATTTTAAAAGAGTAGTTAGAAAATCATTTAAATGAAGTTTACTTAGAAGTTATCAAAGTAAAATGTATAAAACTTTTAAAAATAAAAGATTATTTAGAATTAGAAAGTCATTTATAGAAGATACACAATTTTTTGCTTTATTTCTATCATAATTGATAAACTTGTAACATTTTATAATGCAAAATCAGAAATATGTTAAACTTGTATAAATGAAATAAAATAAAAATTTTATTTAAAACAAATTTAATTGTGAACACATTTTTTCATGACCATATTATCGTTTTTTTATAAAATTCATAAGTATATTATATATAATAACATGTTTTCATGTTCTGATTTATTAGTGATGTTTCATTGGATCATCATTTTGCTATGAATTAAATTATTGTGGATGGTAAACGATTTTATGCCTCTTTGCTCTTTATGGTATTGAATCAGGCACTGAATTGCACTATGATTATCATGATAATAAAAGTGTATGGTGGAGAAAGCAGGTATTTTTCAGTGGTATAACTTCTAGTAATGAGAATATATCAATAATAATTAATTAAAAATGTGATCAGGGGCAAATCCAGATATATTTTAGTACTGCTAGTGTGTGCTTATAATAAAGTGTTAAAAAAAAAGTATTAGGTTGCTTAAATGCAATACTTCTGAATATTTCTGATTAATATCATTTCTAATATCATTTTAGACATTTGAAATCGAATCTTAAATATGTTGAATGCTGGTAAGAATGGTCAAGAATCTTCCCTATTATCAATGAAGAAAAGAATTATATAAATTTTTTAACTGCTTCAAGCTGGAATTTGAGCAAAAATTTGGGAACCCATCTGCTATATTAGTGTCAAAATAGGCCTGTTTAGGCCCTGAATATGTCATAAAGAGGGTTTAACTTCTTGTAAAACTAAACTATATATATACATAAATAAAATTTATAAAATGATATTACTTAATAATCTCTGGGATCTTTATTTATGATATACTTTATCTAAATATAACAAATAACAACTGAAATATTTTGAGTTTTTCTTACAGGTTGCTAACCAGAAACCTGTTATACTTTCTGTTATTTTATCTAAAAATTTATTTTTTAAATCAAGTTTTTTAGAATTTAATCTGTTTTATTAAACAATATTGCAGTGCTTAATTAAACTTTCTTCATTAAGGTTGAAAAAAATTTTTTTTAAATTTTTTTCTGTTTAGTAATGAAAAAGATCATTAAAAACAATTAAGATCAACTTAAAAAAAAATTATTTAGCACAAAATGTATAAAACATCCTTATACCTTCCTAATTTTTAATAAAAATCTAACAAAACATATGGGCGATTTATTTGTTTGTCTAACTTGCTTATACTTTCCTACTTTTTTTTCCAATATTTTTACTCAACATGCAATAAAATGTTTGTAAGTTGCTTTATTTGTAAGTTGCTTAGTAAAATAATAATGTATTTGTTTATATTTTGGCGTTTCATTTCAGTTGTAGTTGATACACTGCAGTTCTCTTGCAAGCTGAGTTTTCCAACTTTGCAGCTGATGCGCAGAGCTTCTATTACATCATCAATATAATCATAATTGCCATCATCATCATCATCATAGTTCTCAATAATTTTCTTAACTTGTAGAAACTCTACTCTGATGTGTTTGCCTTATATGCTACACTAGCTAGTTTAGATGTATCTATGGTAACAATATGTTATAATATAATAATTGTATTTATCTTAGCAAAATGTTAACAACCTATTATCATAAATATTGTTACAACAACATAGATTATCAAAAAATGTTATCAAAACATCATTTATGTTATCTAAGGTACAAAGTTAACTTTTACCTTGAAAAAGCCATCTATTTTTTTCATGCTATTCCAAGTTAATTTATGTTTTTTGTTCATGTTATTTTATTCTGTTTGAGATCCATTCCAGTTTTTCAATACTGAAGTCTAATTTATTATTAAGTTATTTATTACTTATTGTTAGGTATTGTTTCTTTCGTCTGCAAACAAGCATAAAGTAAAGTTTAATCAAACAAAAAACATCTGTATAAAGTAACTCCTGTTGTAAAATAACAGTGAATTCTTTTTAGATAGAGCTCCTAAAACAAAAGTAACAAGAAAAAGACTAAGCACTAAACCCTGATGAACACCATCTTTATTTTACTTATTATACTATCATTTCCTCCATTATTTGTTTTAAATTGTACCTCTTTTAATGCTTTTGACAGCTTTTTTAAGATAAAAAAAATCATACACAGCTATTTCTATTCTGAAAATCTTTTTTAAACTTACAAGAAATAATTCTTCTCTTAAAAATTAATTAAACATAGAATCTAGTTCTTCCTGCTTTATGGAAGTAAATGCATATTTGAATACTAAAAGTGTTTGGAATGTTTTAATGTGCAGTTGAAGGTAGAATATATTTTGTTATAGTAAATTAACAAAAAAACTTTCTTCGTTAATATATTTTATATTATTTTATTTATATTTCTAAATCTTTTTATACTATAGGAAAATACTAAAATACTTCTGAAATACATCAGGTATAAACTTAAGTAAATATTTTGTTCAAATAAAATATTTGAATTATTTTTAAAAATTCCTAATTTAAAAAAATTAAAAAAACAAAATTACTGGTAAAAAAAATTTTCTTTAGAAACTTAGTCTGATAATGAGTTAAATTTATTACCAGTAATAAAGATGTTGAAAATATAAATAAGATTTCTTTATTTTTTACTTTTACTTTTTGTATGTATAATTTTTATAGCTTTAAGTGTTTAAGTTTTTTTTATCAGTTGTTAATTAAAACTTATCATGAAAGGTCATAAGACAAACTATATCTGAATGTGTTAGCCAGACTGTAAGCACTGTGTATAATGCAGACTTCATCAGTTTACCAATATAAACATATTGGTGAACTGATGTATTTTTATTTCCATTAAACTTTAAAAAAACATTTTTTTAAATGTACTTAAATATAAAAATCAATTTTTTTTTTTAATTTTTTAAGCTCTCTAAATGTAAATTGGATCTATTTTAATGTTTGGATTTTTATAGAATAGTTTTTAACATTAAATATTTATTTTTCAATATTTTTGCAATTTATTTTTAGCACATACTTGTGCAATATTATTGGCCTTTACTTAAAGCAAATGTTTTTACCAATTTTTTAAAATTTATAAATTTTTTATTATTAAAAATGTTGCGATTGTTTAAAAACTTTTTAGACTTTTTCAAATTGCAGGAAACACAAGTTCAAACAGGTATAAGTTTTATAACTTTTATAACTTTTTTTAAACTCTATACAGTATAAGTTTTACTAGAAATTATTACAAAAGCATTTATTTAAAGCATATTCTGAAATGAGTCTGCTTGGTTGCCCAGTATTTCAGCTGACAAGAAAATATTAGTTAAAGTGGTTTAAGGTTTTTTTACTTTTATTTAGATGACTGCCTGTAACAGATTTTTTACCAGTTTTGCTGTTAACCTATTTTTGATGATGGCATAGCCTAATTTTTAAACTGATCAGGAATATCTAGTGCACTGAT